AGAGAGAGAGAGAGAGAGAGAGAGAGAGAGAGAGAGAGAGAGAGAGAAAATTCTATGAAGGACTGTTTGTGTCCTTTGGCATCCTTTCTCGGAAAAAGAGGAAGTGTCCTTAATGTGCGACAGATTTGAATTCCTCAGATCGTTGCAGTGATTGTGATTGATAGTAGAATTACATGCCCGCTCATTTTATTGAGCACAGCCTCAAAAGTACATTCATTATTTCACGAAATCAACTGAGATTCCTTTGATGATCAGAGCTTAACACTTCGGTCTGTGTGGGCTTGTTCGCACATTTGTAAGTTGCACATCAGATGCTCAACTCCAAAAGTTGAACATTTATTTTGAAGAGCAAGCTCAATGCAAAGCAAATGAAGTCCTCAAGATGCCGTGAAGCCCCCCCGCTTCTCTAACGCCTGTCATTTTTAAAGTGCGAATACCAAATGTGTGTTCGCCAAAGTGTTAATGTTTGTGTCTCTGCAGGGTTCGGCCGACTCCTACACCAGCCGTCCATCAGACTCCGATGTGTCCCTTGAGGAGGATAAGGAGGCAGTGCGCAGAGAGGCAGAGCGACAGGCTCAGGCACAGCTCGACAAGGCCAAGGTTCGTATCCGAAACCCGGCTGCACTAAGGTCACTCCGTCCACTTCCTACGTACTAAAATGTGCTCTATGGGGGGCCGTAATTCAAGTTTTAGACCTTGAAAGTGAGAGCATTTGTTGAAAGTGATGACTTTTCCTTTTTTTTTGTGCAGGGCTATTGACCGCTAGTAGCGCTGTGACTTTACTCTTGACAGTTGGTCATGACAATGAGAAAAGAAGCAAAGCAATGTGCCTGAAAACGCAAACATGAATGCAAACGTTGCACAATTCAGAATATTACAAAGAAATACTGCTTTGCAAAGGTTTTATGAGCCATAGTATAACAGGTTTAATAGACCTCAAGGATCCACCCAATGTGTTTTGATGGGAACCACTAAATGTAAACAGACTTTTTATATTTGCAGGAGGCATGTAGTTGTGATGGCTCGGGTCAAGATAATGTGGTATGTCGATGAGGGTCCCCACAAGTAAAGAGTTGTGTTTGCATAGACGAAAACTGGTTTCTTTTGCTTGAACGACTGATGTCTGGCATCACTCAAATGGTAATGTAAACTTTACACTGGTTGGTTTGTTATTGGAAGAATAAAAGCGGTGTCTGCTTCCTTTTTGGTCTCATTTCTGAGCCCTACAGCTATCTCATTCTGGCAGAGTTGGTGTAATTTTGACTTATTTCTGACTTCCCCGGCTCATCAGACATTAAAACAATAATGTTAATCATATGTTGTTTTACTTATCATGGGGTGAGATTAGTGGGAAATGCTGAAGGACTGACCAGGTGACTATGAGAAGCAGCAGGAGCCGATTCAGCTGGCTTCTGAGACGAAGGAAGGGCAGTTAGGGGCTGCTGATGTGAGAAGGTTAGGGGCCTCAGAGGGCTCAGTGTCACTGTTTATCAGGGCCAAGCCTCGCCTGCTCTGGGCCACAATTAGCAGCATATAAACAAACACACACACGGCAGAGCAGGCTTGCCTTTGCACGACAGGAATTGCAATCAGCGCTGGCTTCCACAGAATCACTCACATCGCTGGCACTGTTAGCGATCTGCCTTTAATCTGTGGAATAATTCAGCTATCTTCTGTGCACAGTTTGTTCTCTTCCTGCTTTACAGCTCATTTGATAGCTTTACATATTAATTCAAGCAAGTGTCTGGAAAATGGGTTTATTGTCTTTCGCCGGGTGTGTAACGGCTAGCGCGCTCATTAGCTGTACGTGCTGAGCTTTTGGCTGTCCATCCATGTTCCTCCTGCGCTGTGTCTGAATTGTAGCTCAAAGCTGGCAAAGACGGATCACTCCAGCAGATATCTATGTTGTTATTTTCCAGAGTTACCCTCTGCGGCTCACTAATTAAAAAGATAGGTTGGCTTTATAGATAACCTGGCATAGATTACCCCCGCTGGCATTTTACATGACAGATGACTAGTAAAAAATAGCCTCTCAGTGGGCTGGCCACCAGAGAGAGAGAGCGAGCTGGGGTCAGAGGAAGTGCAGACTCTCTGACTGTGAGCCTTTATGGGCAGTAATTCACTATGACTTCCCTAACATACCACAGATACTCGTAAGGAGTGGGGATAGAGTTGATGCCTGTAATGTTGCATTGATATACTTCTCCACATTACATTACATTTATTTGCACACACACGCACAAACAAACAGATACTAAACACCCTCTGCTGTTTCTATTAAAATGAGTTCTAGTGGTACTAGTCAGTCTGTGTAAAGTGCTGTATAATGTAAAGTGCTTCTATGGCTCTAGAGAAGCTTTGTCAAGTCTGAGATAATGGGGGTCATCTCAGGTTAGGGGTGGCGAATCTGTGTGTGTGAAGTTTGAACTGTGAGGGTATTACAGTTGCAGTAGTTAGAGAGTGCAACACGAATATAGCCATGTCTATGTCTAGTCCAAATCTATTTTATCTTTGTTTGTTTTATTGCACATGGCTGTAGATAAGGTAATGGGTCAGAATGAATTACTCTCACTTTGTCTCTGAAGCTTTCGATACCGTGTAGAAGCTGACTTGTCGAATTAGTGCACACACATTACAATTAATGTAGATAAGATATCATAGAAACTACTGAGTGACTGGTAGCTGCAATGGCCTTCATTTGTAATTACTTACTTGGCATACTTAGTCTCCTCTCCTAAAGCAACCTTGGATAATTGTGTAAATATCTCTCCACATAAATGAATGAAGGTTATGGCTCCCTTCAGACCATGTAATAGTGCATTGAAGAGGCACTCGGTACAGCCTGCACGGATCTGAAGAGAATTCATTTCAAATCGATCCACAGCATTCAAGGTGAAACAATGTGGGAGGATTTATGGCATGAGATCTTGTATATGGCATGTTACATAGCAAAACAGCAAGGGCACATGTAGAGTCAATCAGTGTAAGCACAGAGAGGACAGGGAGGTATTATCTATTGAAATATTCATGGTGTGATGTGATATTGTGACAAGCGTCGTGTGGTGTTAATTGGCTGTGGTCCATGGCGCTCTCTCCCATGACTTCCAGTTACAGATTGGGCTTCTCTTGAGCTGGTTATCTCCATCTTATCCTTATTCTCTTATCTCCACAAATGTGTCTACTCTCACTTCCAGTCCTTCCTTCTTCTTTTTTTTGCGCTGCATCATCTGCTATCCTTTTGTCCATCTCCTTTGCTTTCTTTTCTTTTTCCCCTCCTCCTCCCACTCTTCTTACCCGGTCTCTAACCCTCTGCCTCTGTCCTTCTCCCTCCCTCACTGCAGTCAATATGGTATCCATAATGAAGGCCTGTGTTACGTAAGAAGCAACAGAGCAGTATGGGGCTCGGTCAGGAGATGTAAAGATACTCTACAGCATTGCAAATGTGCCATTATTTAGAAACCCTGCAGTCACCTGTGATATACGGTGGCATGTCAGGACATGTATGTGTGCGTGATCGCCTACAGGTTCGTAAAACGTCATTAAGCTTATAGAAAGCTTCACCTGACGGGCGGCCATGATGGATAAAGGCGAGGAGAGCAGCTGGGAGGGAGGCAAGAGGCAGCGGTCCATGAGACACATGTGTGCTAATGGACCTCATGACACATTCAGCTTACAACCATTACTTCATGGAATATCACCAACCGATCGACCCCCTGTCTCCACCACTCGGGACCAAGCACCGGACCTATAGCGACCGAGCCTCCTCCTCCTGGAGATGTCTCCCCAAACCTGTTCATGTTCAAATCACAACTCAATATGTTGTTGTGTGTTGATTATATCAAGAGTGTTGTTTTATATTATATGATTTTTAACTTGCATAAAGTGTCTTTAGGTACTATGAAAAGCGCTCTATAATAAAAATATATCATTATTATTATTAAAGGCTAGAACATGTGCTTCAACAACTTTTAAAAGTGATAATACAGTCTGCGTTTTACAAGTTGTTTTGAAGTTCTTCTGCCCTCTAGTTGCCAGAAAATCAAAATTATTGCAGCTTAAAAAATATAGGAAGATAATTTCCACTTGCTTGTAATCCAAGTCAATTTGAGTTTATTTAACTGATACTAATGTAAATGTGTAGATCTTGCTTCGTATACGTCATTTGTACTAAATTGAATTGGTACATTTTACTTTTAGGTTTCTATGGGACAATCAGATTGCGGGACTGGTATGACGCACTTTAAAATCATTTTGCCGAATCTGTTTGAGGTCAAACTAAAGTTACAGCATCAAAGCTCTGATCTAGTGGGTTCAATTTGGCTTCCATCCGAATATTTCATACCCTTCCCCTCATCTTGCTCTTTGCAGGTTACTACTTAGTGTGCGAGTCTACCCTGGGAGATTACTCTAAGCTACATCCCTGTGCATTCGTTTTGGCTTTTCAGTCGACTTTCGTCATGCTCGTCACACAGTCAAAGGCAGAGCGAAATGTAATCTGGGTTAGAGCCTTGACCATGTTGCCAACTGTTGCTGCCATCGCCGCTAGGCTCGCTCCGTGATTATGTCCAAAAGCATTTTATGTAATTCTGAAAGCGATGTCTAACGTGGGTATATTCTACTCTTGTAGATATCTAGATTCAGAGGGGTTTGTCTGTGAGCATGTGGAAGAATTACATTCTTTCATGACGTGCCCTTATTAAATCTCATTGAAATCCCTTTTTGTAGAATATGTAATGCGTGACTTTGGGCAGAGGAGATTTGCTTGTGCAAAAACATCTTTTGCTGGAAAGAAAGAAAGTTGCTCTCTCATGTGTGGACAAAGAGGAAGGGGGCAACTGTGGCTCAGTGGTAGAGCAGGGTCGTCCTGGCCAGTATGTATTCATTTACACAAGTTCTGTTTGTGCTACTCATAAATAAGCGCAAAACAAGAGTCCTTTTTTTTTTTTACTCTCTGTGTCGAAGCGGTGATTGCTGCAGACACTAACATGTTGCATCACTCTGAATTGTAAATTGTTTAAGCCTGCAGCAGGGAGGCTGTGCAGCAGCCGAATCATTCAAGGAGAGAAACTAAGTCTGGGTGAATCAGACTACTTGTATCCCTCACCTAGGGTTATTTTTAAACCTCGCACAAAGATGAGAATCACAGCTCACCAACAGTGCACTAAAGCATTTTTAATGAAGAGGTCTCTCTCTTGTGGATTAGGATATAATTACCATTTATATCTTTTACATGATCTGACATTTTCATTTATCTCACTCCTTTTTTTCCTCCCGGCAGACCAAACCAGTTGCATTTGCTGTTCGCACAAATGTCAACTACAGTCCGTGTAGCGATGACGATGTCCCCGTGCCGGGCCTGGCCGTGTCCTTTGAGGCTAAAGACTTCCTCCATGTCAAAGAGGTGAACTTTCCAATCAGAGATGGTGTTCAACACAGTGATGCTGACGGGAGTGAGGAGGATGCTCGAGATAACTGTCTTTACTTATTCCGTGTAGAAATTCAACAACGACTGGTGGATAGGACGCCTGGTGAAGGAAGGCTGTGAAATCGGTTTCATCCCCAGTCCAGTGAAGCTTGAAAACACTCGTATCCTCCAGGAGCAGAGAGCCAAACAGGGCAAGTTCCACTCCAGGTACAAACCCCTCATCTGCACTAAACGTCTCTGTCTCGACTCGGAGGTTGTCTAAAATGTATGTTGACTTCATAAGGATTCATTGTCAACTTATTCTCTTTCCAGTAAATTGGGAGCAAACTCATCCTCTAGTTTGGGTGAAGTGGTTCCTAACTCACGGAAATCTACACCTCCTTCGTCTGGTGAGTAGCTTCACAGGCACACTTAAAAACTCCAACTTTATACTTAAAACTCTTTTAAAACTATTTTCAACCATTGAATTCAAGTTGCAGGTACGATGCGCTACTTAGATTTGTCATGTTTTGTATTTTTATCAGCAATAAAGTTGATATTTTCCTGTAAGTTATGTTCTAATGGCCATAATTGTACTTTTACATGTTTCATTTGCTGTTAATGTGCAGTAGCACACATTCTGTGCTACTGCTCCCGTTACCTGTGACCCCCTGTATTCATCTGTGTGATGGTGGTCTTATCTGTCTGTGTGCGTAGCCATTGACATAGACGCCACAGACTTAGACCCCGAGGACAATGAGCTTCCAGTCAACAACCTGCGCTCCACTAAAGCCAGTCCAAACACTGTCATGTCACCTCTAGCAAAAGAGAAACGAATGCCCTTCTTTAAGAAGGTAAAGTCTGGACTACCCAAGCCTCTCTTCCTCTATCCGTCCGCACGTCTCTGACTAAATGCCCGCTTGGCTCACTCAGCGCCCGTCCTGTTTTGTCTACAGCACCGTCTTCGTCCCTCAGCGTGCACCCGTCTGTTAGCATGCATGCCTGTTCTTAACCTCTCTCTTTCTCCTCTTCCGTCTCACCATAGCTAAGCAGAAGCAGAAGTCGGTAAGTTGTGGCGTGCACCAGCTCAGCAGGGTCTGAACTGTACAAACCCTCTTTAGAGTCTCTGTACTGACCTCTCACCCTACTCACTGCTCCTGCAGTCCTCTGTGTTGTTTGTTTACGTGTTTGTAAGTGAACTTGTGATTGGGTGAGAGCTCAGTGTGAACAGCTTTTTAATAAGCCATACAAGATCTAAGTTTAAAGGAACAGTACAACATTTTGGAGAAATGCACCCATCAGCTTTTTTGCTGAAAGTCAAATGAGGGAGATCAATACCACTCTCATATCTTCTATTTAATATGAAGCTGGAGAAAGGAGACGGTTAGCTTAGCATAAAGAAACAGTGAACCAGCACCTTGAAAGCAAGTTGTCATATCTTGTTTGAATAAGTGTATTCCCAAAATGTGAACTATTCCTTTAATACAAAATATCCTCACACATCTAAAACCCCAAAATCAATTAAGTCAATTTCATTAAAAAAGTTAATTGCTAACGCATGAAAGTTTGCCACGACTATGCTGACGTCAACCAAGTAATGCAGGGTTGAACTTAGACCGCCAGAAGAACCACATTGTCATCACATTGATACCCTCATGTTAGTCACCAGTATTGTGCATCAGTTCCCACAGCGTCCCAAGGGAAGCACAATGACGACAGCAAATGTTAGGCAGAGAGAAAACGTTGATGTGGACAGAGAAAGAGGAGCCAACATGAAATCTACTCATCATAAAGATAACACAGACTGAGAGAGCAGCTTGAACATTGGGACAAATAAGCAGAGCTTCAGGTCCACTGCCTCTCTGTCAGACACAAAATAATCAAGCAGTTTACAAACAATTACAAACAATTACAATAAAGTTCTGTCAAAATAATACAAATGACCCTGAGTGTCTAAATGTGGCATTAGCTATAACAAAGTGAACCACTGGAAGAATATCATCTCCATCAAAAAAAAAATGTATATTATTGTCTCATTTTTCACCTGTACCAATAAGCAATTAATCAGATTTTAATATTTTCCTTTAAGTCATTGTGAATCTTTTTTAAGTGCTTTGACTGCACATTTCAAATAGGTCTACAACTAACGACAAATATCGATTCATCTGCAGAGTATTCATATTGATTAATCGATTACATCTATAAAATGTTAGGGTTAGGGTTAGGGTTTCACCAAATTCTCCCACAGCCCAAGGTGACATATTTAAAAATCCCCTCTTCGCATTTTAAGACATTTCACGTTTCATATGTTTTTTCCAGACAAAGAAATCCTGAATCTATTAATATGTAAAATATTGCTTGACAATATTAACTGATGGACGCAAAATGCGTCCTACTTAACTGAGTCCATTCTCAGTACGCTGTGCGCCGGAGGTTTCAATTTTCCACTTGACACCAGAATTTGTTTCCAAACTTTTTGACCAAAATAAGGTTCATACGTAAATTTATTAAACTCGTATTTAATCTAAATGTTGAAACAGCCTCCGCAAATTGTTTCAGATCTAATTTCCAACATCTTGTGAGAATCACCTTTTCTGATTTAGATTTAAAATTGAGGCCGTCACACAAAGCGAGCTGCCACTTTGTCCCGACAGCAGTGAGCAAGTCTTTCTACCCGTTTTCTAATTTTTAACACGTTTTTCAGTCGTCGCTTCCGTTGATCTTCTCTGGCTTTTTCTCACTGACCGACTAACCTTTATTGTCACAAAGCTTTACTTTTTATTCAGCGACATCAGAACCATGAAATGAGAGGATTTATCTAAAAATTTGTAATCCGTCATGAAATATTGCAGTTTTACTGTAAGCTGCTTTGAAGTATCGATAACGTGATGTAAACTGACAAATCTGTTACATAAATCAAAGCTTGTGATTTGGCCGGCCGGGTCGTCCCATTTTATGGTTCACAATGTTCCAGTGCTTTTAAATCCAGTCTGGCTCATTGTTGTTCCAAATCCCTCAAGTGATTTGTGATGGCGAGTGTTTACTTTGTCTCCATAAATGTTTGCAACTGTTTTTCTTCATGTCCTCGCTTCAGGCAGAACACATTCCTCCGTACGATGTTGTGCCTTCTATGCGGCCCGTGGTTTTGGTTGGACCGTCACTGAAGGGCTACGAGGTGCGTCAAAACTCTTGACATTTCAATCACAAGTTTGTTGGGAAATATCTGTCCCTTTTGGAACTGTTCTCTCTTAATATCTCCCTTCATTTCCGGTCCACAGGTGACAGACATGATGCAAAAAGCACTGTTTGACTTTTTGAAACACAGATTCGAGGGAAGGTAAGGCTCCCTGTGACCTTTTTTTCTCATCCGGCTTCCTTCCTCATTCCTCCTCTCTCTCTCCAACTCCATAGGCTGGTATTTATCTGTCCCCCGAGGTTAGCCGAGGGAGTGTGTAACAAGTTTGCTTGGCCTGGAGATGTGTGCTGCTGCTTTAAATAGGCCCTCTCCATGTCCTTAATAGGCCATAGTGGCCCTAGAGCAGAGCAGGATTCTCCTCACTCAATGTTGAGTCCTCCACCCATCTGAAGCAGAGAGGCGGTGAAGTTACGCAAAACTCAGATCCAACAGACCACCAGCAGCTGCAGTGACTGCTGTAAATTCCCTTTTGAGTCCTGTTCTTCAGACATAGCTTAAAGGGTAACAACCACAACCAGACTCTTTCTTTTCCTATGTTTTTGTTTCCAGTATTTAGGGAATATTTAGTAGCTACTCACCTTCTTGTACGCCCACTAAACATGCTCATTTTTGCAACTGACAGGCTCAGATTGATATCATAAGAGTCCGACAACTTTATGGAAATGACCCTACAGAGTAATGAAACTTCTTACTTTACCTCAATCCGGTCTGTCTGTTCGATCGGAGAAGCTTTGTTCTGAAGTCTACCTCGACGAAATCAGCTAAATATTCAGCAATGGCATAGAAAACCTTTTCGATAACACAAAGCTAAACTTTCTGTACTACAACACAACAAACTCTGGAAACTCCGTTCTCCAACTCACTCTCGTTGTCTTCCATCACATTTCACAATAACACACATTACTGTTGTACAAATAGTTATTACAAGCGAATATGGTTTATTGTGTGCACAGTTATTAAGGTTTTCACTTATGTTCGTGAATGGTGCAGTTTTAATTATAAGCGGGGAGCTACTGGTAAACATGTTTGTTATTTTCCTTTTCTTCATCTTTGACTACTTCTACAAGCCACAAAATCTTACTTTACAAACATTTAACCTATGAAATGAAACCCTGCTAAAGTATTCTATCGTGATAAAGATCATTTTATCTACATCTTTGTTTTAACTCTCAGGCTCTGCTCTCTGTCTTTTGTCTTTTTTATAGCCGTATGCTTCTCCTATATTTTTGTTCTTAATACACAACAAGATTACATGTTTGTCCTTCTACCTCATGTCAAATAAAGTCCATAATATCAGGTCAACCAACTATCTTTCTTGTGCCTTGTTTCAGAATATCAATCACTCGCGTCACGGCGGACATCTCTCTGGCCAAGCGCTCAGTCCTGAACAATCCCAGCAAGCACGCCATCATCGAACGCTCCAACACACGCTCAAACTTGGGTACGTTTGTGCTAAAAAATCACCGCAATGCCTGGGAACAATTTGGTGTATTGATTCACAATGTTTTCAAGGAGACCAAGCTTATGTGGAAAAGGAAGGAAATGATTAAAGGAACTCACGACATTCATCACGTAATGATGAATCCAGACAGCCCAGGAAAGGCCTTTTTCCTTTAGTTAGGAATAAAAGATAACAAGTTCAGCAACCGCTCTGATTTGACCGAGGCTGATGTGGGTTCAGATGTAATTAGAATGAAAGAGATTCCTGAGTCAAATCTTTTGCCATGTATCAGCATAAGCTTCAGTCAGCTGCTGCAGCAGAGTAAGAAAGCCCAGGTAAGTTGTATGCTGGAAGCAAGAAGTGTATTATATTACATTTTTTTATGATTACACAGAGTCACCATACTACTTTACGATTTTACTTTTTTCAACGGTGTGCTGCTGCCCCAGTTTAAAACTGAAAAGGAGCTTTAAGGCAACAGCTCCTCCATCTCTACTGCCTTTTTCAGAGGCACAAAAACTTTCTCTCCATATTTCACCCAAAGCTTTTAAGTTCAAGCAAGTGCCACTTTGAGTCTATTCAGTCAGTTACGTTTATCTTAAAAAGAATATCATCTTAACGAGCCATTTCGTGCCCTATAGAGCCTGAAATCTGCCAAAATTCAGAAGATTTGCACAGCTGTTTCTGATTCAGATTTTCATAAAATGTTTTCGAATCAAAAGCGACATTAGCTTGATGCGAGTGAAGCCTTCCTTTCTTTCTGCATTGGAAACAAGTGAAATCTTCTCACCCCATTTTGCAATATTTTGTGAACAAAATGAGAATTTGTGACTCTAGCCGTAGTCTGAATGAGCTGTTAGGTTGGAATGTTTTCATGTTATCAGTTTACTTCAGACTTCGTCGTGACTGGAAGTCGTGAAGCTTGGCCACCATTCCTCTCAGTTTGGGAGTCGTGCCCTGCTGTGATATTTGTAGGATAGTTTTTGCACTCACGTCGTCATTTGTTGGAGTGGAGGCTGTGTGATGTAACAGTTGGTCTCTGCTTGGAGGTAACAGACGATAGCTCACTGTTTCTCCCACATCTAACAGTCTCTAAGCCTGGTCCCTAAAGTCATGATTTCTTTTGAATATTTAAGTTTCTATGAAACAGAGAGAAACAAGCCAACCAGTAAGTGAAGATTTATTGATAGAGCACTTTTTAAAACAATTGTCACAAAGGACTTTATGATAAATACATGAAATATCAAACAGGTACAATACAAATATAGATAAGAGCAACAAAATGGAAAAAGACTAAATATGAGCTCTGATTGATCCATAAAGAAAAAAGCTGGATGTATCTGCTGTACTTGTGAGGAAAGAAATAGAGTCGAACCTCTGCATTGACTCTCACTCTCCCTTTATTCTTCAGCTGAAGTCCAGAGTGAGATTGAGAGGATTTTCGAACTGGCCCGGACGTTACAGCTGGTGGTTCTGGACGCCGACACCATCAACCACCCGTCACAGCTGGGGAAGACGTCCCTCGCCCCCATCATCGTCTACGTCAAGATCACCTCTCCCAAGGTGAGTAGCATTAACATGCTTGATCCGGTGACAGAGCTACTCAGTGTGAGTTAGAAGGAAAACTAGCTGTGATTTTTAAATACAGCATGTTTACAGCAAATGCTTGGGAGGACTGATTCATCACTTTGACCTTCAGCGTGAGTAAAAAAAGGCTCACGATTCAGTGATCAATAAAATAAAAACAGGCATTTGGGTAACATGGAAAATGAGAAAAGGCATAGCTAAAGAGGGATGAGGAACAAGCTTTAAATCAAAGTGGCATCAGTGTGAATCACTCGCAGTGGGAGAAATAAACTGCTCTCTACCACCTGTCCTCTCAATTACAATCTGCTGTCATATCATGTACAGCTAACCTGAAAGTATTTTTACAAGTTATGATATAACTGTATAAATAGTGGTGGAAAAAGTGCTCTAAGTAAAAGTACCAAATACAACAATGTAAAAATTCCCGATGACAAGTAAAAGCCCTACTTAAAGTGAACCATCGGCAGTTGCGTTGCATTGTGGGTAATGTAGGCGCCAGGTTTTGAGAAGATGAACGCTTGAGTCTGATAAACTTTAATCGAGTGCAAAGCTAAATTAGTGGAGTAGTTTTTAATTCTAATCCCAACATGGGGGGGCGTATAATACGTGTCCCTTCCAAAGGGTCACGAGATAAATCTGAGGGGTTGTGAGAAAAGAGTTTTGCTTCATGATTCTTTTTTTTTTTCTTTTAACTTTTCTGTAATTTTCATGCCTCAGATCCGGTTACAGCTGTTATCTTTTTTGGCTGTCCGTCCGTACGTTCAGTCTATTTTTCGTGAATGCGATGTCTCAAGAACGCAGGGAGGGAATTTCTCTAAATTTGAAACAAACTGATAAATTGATCAACATTTGGTTGTCAAAGGTCAAAACCTCACAAAACCCATTTTTGGCCATTTTTGCAAACTGCAACTTTTTGTGAAATGTTGAATACTTTAAGTATTTGGGCAAATGGTGAGTTAAATAAAAAAACATCTGAGAAGTTTAGCGGAAATGTCTCTTTGGTGGATTTACTAACAACTCGTATGTTTTATTTTTACATGCGTTTCCTTTTTGTGTACATTCTTGTAATGGTTTATGGTGTCTGGTTTTCTTCTTTCTGTCTTTGCACTGGAACTGAGCTACCATGTTGCACCAAAACAATTACCAGTTATCTTATATCCAAGTATCTTATATCTTGTACGTCTGAAATGCCACTGGATTCATGTTTAACAATGCTTTGTTATTCATGAAACAATCATATGTATGTCCTAATCTGAAATGTAGAGGGGTAAAAAGTACAATATTTCACTAAAGTAGAGTTCAAGCTCAAAATGATTTACTTAATACTTCCTTCACCGCCTGTAAGAGCTTTAACTTCAACAGAGGCTATCGTCTTTGTTTCTGCACAATATAAAATGAACTTTCCTTAACTTGAATATTGCCCACACAAAGCCTGAATTCAGTTTTATTTTACACAACCACCATGACCTTGTTGCTTCATTTGCCCTCAGGTGCTGCAGAGGCTCATCAAGTCCAGAGGCAAGTCCCAGGCCAAACACCTCAATGTCCAGATGGTGGCCGCTGACAAGCTGGCTCAGTGCCCTCCAGTAAGTCTCTATAGAGGACCCAAATTACACAAATGCTCAGTGACTGCAGTCTTTGAAACAACCTGGAGTTTTGTTCTTTAGAGATAGTTTTGGCTTAAGTTTCATGATTATCTTTTTAAAGCTTTCTTATTCGTGCCAGTTCTATTTCTGCTCTTCAGTAATCTGCTTAGTTATTATTTTAGAAAATGAAGCAAGCACCCCAGGCTTGAGAGAATGCAGGCTTAATTTAATCCAAATAGCAGTCCCTATCTTTAGGGAATCACTGTTTCAGATTTTCTCAGAATGAATGCCTAATGCAATTTAGTGTTTAATTCAGTGGGTTCATTCTAACAGAGTCTTTTATTGTGAAATTCCGCTACAGCACAGACCATTTTCTTTAACCCTGTCTTGAACCCTTCTCTCCTTCCCCAGGAGATGTTTGACATCATCCTGGATGAGAACCAGCTGGAGGATGCCTGTGAGCACATGGCTGATTACCTGGAGGCCTACTGGAAAAGCACTCACCCCACTAGCTGCAACCCCCCCAACCCACTGCTAACCAAGCTGCCCACAGCCATCCTGCCCTCCGGTCCAGCGGCGGTCACCAGCGTGCAGGTACGAGAACTGAGGCCACAGAGAGGATGGGGTATACCTGTAGCAAAGCTGGGCAGGTGAACTGGAAAGGACAGGAAGTGACAGAGGCAGTGCTAGAGGGCTAGAAAGGGAGGGACAAAAAAAACCTGCAGTAAATGATGATTAGGGTCCGTTTCAATACCCACATGTATGGTATTTAATGAGATGCTTTGTTGGTAAAATGGTCTTAACATGATATTATTTTGAATGGTAGGGAAGGAACTTATTTCCACAAATGATTGATCAAATTGTAATATTTAATATTATGTGTGCGACTGTATTAAGCAATAAACATCTTTTATATTTTCAGCTGTAACTGTAAAGTGTTTGGATGTGAATAATAATATTCATATATTAAAAGACTCATCACTGCCAACAACTAGACAAGTGCGGTGCAGGAGATTGTGATGAAACCGCTACAAAGCATTAGGATAAAGTGTACAACAAGTGGGGATTAAATGTATCGTGGGCTGGCAATATAGAGGAGGTAGACCTGAAGTGGGTCAACATCATGATTACTTGTAACCCACGATTTCAAATGCAATTCATTTATATTCCTTACTAGTAAATATGTCTTTTTTTTAAAAGCGTGTCATGCAGGATTGATTGTCAGTTTTATGGTATGATATTGTGTGGTATAACATAACTTTTCAGCTAATGCCACATATCTGAGTAAATGCCGTATAATAACTTAACCTCTACCCCTCTCTCCATCCACTGCCATCACAATGGGAAATGTAAGACTGAATATTGGGAAAGTCCTGATATTGATGAGGAGCAGGAGTGAGCTTGACATGTGATTGTTAGTGTGGTGAGTGTGGAGAGGCCCTCAGATAAATGTTATTTACACTTCAGGTGCCAGAAATTCATAAGGACTTCGTCTTGATCCTGCAAACTAAAAATACAAAACAACTTGAAGTTTTCTTTAAAAGATTTCCCCTCCCGGATTCATTAACCTTCAATGGATGGTTGATGAATATTCAAGCAGTGTGTGTGTGTGTGTGTGTGTGGGTGTGTGTGTGTGTGTGTGTGTGTGTGGGTGTTCCAGTGTGAGTGCATAGATACGATATGCACCAGAATCAGCAAGGGTGAAGTGAATATTAATCTGCAGCATGAGTTGTGTTTGTGTGTGTTTGCAGTGCGTTTATTTGCTTTCTGTCACCCGACTGACTGACATGTGTTACTGACCTCAGGGTGGCATTGCAGAGCCGAAAGGAGACAAAGCATTAGTGGAGAGAAAGGGCTCCAAAGAGGATCACCAGCACCATCATCACCATCACCACCACCACCGCCAGGACCAGGACCAGGCCGATGCCGATGCAGAGGCTGAGGGGGAGGACAATGAGGAGGAGCGGCCTCTGAGGACTGAGGCCTCCAAGAGAGCCCAGCACATCCACCACCGTTCGTCTTCCACCAGGACTGAGCAACACAACCACCATCACCACCACCACCACAACAGTCGAGCGCGGGGCCTCTCCCGGCAGGAGACTTTGGACTCGGAGACCCCTGAGAGCCGAGAGAGCCGAGAGAGCAAGGACTCTGCTTATAATGAGCCGCACACTCAGCTCCACCAACAGGAGGTGGAGGAGGAGGAGGAGGAGGAGGAGGAGGAGGAAGAGGAGGAGGAGGATGATGAGGATCTAGGGGAGGGGCACCCCCAGCAGCAACAGCGTTACGAGCCACTGCCCCACCGGGACCACAACCACCATCACCACCACCACCATCACCGCGGTGGGACGGACGAGGCCGGCCAGAGCACGGGACAACACCGCTCTAAGGAGCGCGAACAGGACCATAACGAACGGAACAAGCAGCGCTCGCACCAACACCGGCCGGCACGCGACCACCACCACCACTACTACGACCGGGACAGAGACAGGGACCGAGAGGGGGAGGTGGCTCCCAAAAAGAGGGGTGAGGCAGGGGAATGGGCCAGAGACTCCTACATCCACCAGTGACAGACCAAATCCCTCCTGAAGCTCATCTGGACTTAACCATTCTGTTCTCCCATCGTGCTGCTATACCCTGAAACCACAGCATCCTATTTATGTACACTTCCTTTGTAAATGCTGTTGCATCTTTTTCAATGGCAGGATTTTGATTACATAGATACAAATATAAATATATAAATATATGTATGTGTGTATCTATGCATAGACGTCGTTTATGTGTGGATATGCATGAATATTCTCAAATATGCATATTTTAAACCTGTGTTTGATAAAGCATGACACAAAAGCAGAATTGTTTTTTCTGTACTGAGCTGTGCTTTCTGTGATTAGCATTTTTATTTTTTATTGTTTTTATTAATTTTGCTTGCTACCACTTGAATAATTTGTTCCTTCAGACTACTGCTAGGGTTGACTGTGTTGACGGTTGACTAACCAAGTGAGTTTGATGCCGTATTTTGCAGCGGCCTTTTGTTTAAAAGAGTAGTTTTGTCAATTTGGGAAATACGCTTGTTCGCTGTCTAGCTGAGAGCTACCAGTTTATTAGGTACACCTACAGTAGCTCATATAATACAGTCTAAAACAACAGTCCTACAAGAAAAATCCTATTGGCCTGACGGGTATAATGTTCGGTTTTTGTTTAAACTGAATTTTATGATCATTTTGGAGACTGCTGTTCAACTCTGTTGTTATACTGGAAGGTGTTTCTATTATTCTGTCCACCACATTGATATGAATGATGGTAGTCTAAATAACAGGAACAAGACTGTTTTATTGGACTGCATTAGTTTTCGCTGCCTGAATAACTGCCAACTGAGTCTAGATGAGATCAATAACACTCAAATATAAAGCTTCAGCTAGCAGCCGGTTAGCTTAGCTAAGCTGGAAACAGAGAAACGGCTTGTCTGACTGTATGAAGATAAAAAACAACAATTTAAAGCTCACTAATTACAGAAAACTTAATTGAAAAGAAAAAGTTTGGGTTTTACAGCAGGGCTAACCTTCTCTAAGCTAACTGGCTGCTAACGCTAGCTGCAGGTTCATATTTTGAAAAGATACGAAAGTGGAATCAATCTTCTCATCTAACTCTCGGCCAGAAAGAAAATAAGCATATTCCCCGATGTGTCAGACTACTTGATTTTATGTTGTATGGCTTAGTTTCTTTTTTAAATTCTGCGTCCATGATTTTAGACATGTGGTTTTAACATATTTAAGCCTCGCTCGAGGTGCACCTTAGTCTTGCTTTCCAAGACGAACGAGTTCTACGATAACTTCCTCTCTTACATGCAGTACTGTTCTTTGTATGGGTCCAGAAACATTTTGTAACATTGATACACACTTTAATCTGCACTTTTACTGATTCACGTTGGTTTCAAGTGAAATTTGATATGACATTGCAACTTTACTGTAGGTCTACAACCAAAACTCCATCAAGGTTAATCTTTTATTAAGTCTGAACCCCTTTTTCTAACAAATGTTGTTTAATTCCTACTTTAACTGCAGAGTTTAAAGAATGTTCATCCTAAGATATCTTCTTTGGTATGCTCCTTACTAAAAAAACAAATCAAAAGATGCATTTGCAACTCAAACTATTCAAAAATGTTTACCATTTGTTCACTCCCCTGACTAACACAATCTATTCCAAGAGTCAATGACGTTGGATCAACTTTAAACTTTTCTTGTATTAGTTCATGATGCTGAAAATCTGAATTAAGTCCCTCCGTTTAGAAACCCACCCTGTCCCTTCACTTTCTTTGATTTTGCCTGACAATTGTAATTATAAAAGACTCCATTTCTATGCTACATTGGTAGCACTACAGGTTTTCTAACTGTGTACATGTGTATGTACATAATGCATAAATATAAGGAATAAAGTTGGCAACAAAGAACTGATGCCGAGGGAGAAGGACTTGATGTGTGCTTTGTCAGAAGACCCAGACAGAGGAGGAGAGCGTCTATAAATAGTCATCTGAAACTCTGCTGAAAAATTGAGGTAGACTCATCGGGCCTTCCTCCGGAGTAGTCATGACAACATCGACATGAACGGCAATACTGAGGGGATGCATCCAAAATAGCTTCTCCACACACAGATGCCTCCAAAATAGACAAGCGCTCGCAGGGGTGCAGCTGATTTGATCTCAGGATTTTAACGTCGTTTAGTGCAGCAGAGAAAAGAGCGGCCATGTTAACCAGCAGTCTACATACACTTAAAATGCACAGATGCAGGGCGGCGACGTGCAGCTGACATTCCCAGACAGATGTGTGTGTGTGGACGGACATATACGAGTGTAATGGTACTGATTGAGCGGAGGTCATTGTGAAGGTCCTCAAAATGCTGCGTGATGGGAGAACAGGCCAGATGTTTGTGCGCTGTCGGCACAAATCCATAAATTCTGTGCAGATTCAAAGGACACCCATAATTCAATTTGCAATGAATAAATTTGTGACGAGTATTGTAATTTGTATTCAAACCAATGTTTCATGAGTGTCATATTATTTGCAGTTGCTTTATACATAACGAACAAGAAGAGAGAAAAAAATCAGATTTTCAAGTATATTTTATTTTGAAAAGATAATTTCCTTCTGGTGGATGAACTTCAAACAGCATAATGTCTCTCTTACAAGCAGCAGAAGTCTTAATTAGAGGTTGTCTCCACCACTACAATAACACACTGAATTGTTATTACCTCACATGACCTCTTTCTGCATGCTACTTCCTGATCTCTGAGTTCCAGCGAATCCCCTGTCACCAGCTGTGTCGTCATTGTTGTTATGGCGATGCAAGCGCTACTGCATTTGCCAATACTCATTCAGTCTCTATCCCCACGTGCCTCCCTCTCTCCCTCCCTCCCTCCCTCCCCCCTGCCCTCGGTGTTTATAAAGCTTATCCCTATATGGCCCGCAGTTTCAGAGAGCAGCTGTTAAGAGGCAGATGCTGTAAACAGCACAGTGAGCGTCTTTGTCAACACTGGCCCCGTCAAAGCACACACAGCGTCGTAACATAAACACTATTGTTCCCGTCTGCAGTCTCGTGTGAGAGCTGACGGTGCCGTAAGAAAAGAAAACATGCCCTCCGGTCAGTCTTTTAGGAACTTGGCGATAAAAAAGCCGATGGTGTCCCCGTCGGCTCTGCAGGGGAGGGGGGCTGCCGTTCCTGTCTGGTCCCAGCTCAGCTCAGGACTGAACCTCTGGAGGAGGCGCAGCTGCTCAGGTGACAGGCCGGCTCCCAGCATGCCCTCCGCGCCGATGTGAGGCTCCTGGAAACAAGAGCGTGATTTGGTGAGGTCTCCTCGAACATCTCTCTCCATATCTGTGAGTCCGTACAGGTGTTTTTACCTGAGGCTGAAGGGTGAGGCAGGGGAAGGTCTCGAGCGCCCAGGCTATCTGCTCCTCGTTCTCTGCTAGAGTTACTGTGCAGGTGCTGTACACAAGAACCCCGCCTTTCTTCAACAGCCGCACTGCCTGCAACACAGGAAGACCTTTTATTAAAGCGGCTATAATCAATATTTATATAATATGACACAAAGTGGTTACTCGTCGTGATGAATTCTCATCTTTATGGAGCTTTACTGTGAGTTTCAGCTTGTTATAGTTATTCGGTCCACAACTTTACTGTTTTGGTCCCCTTTACAACTCATGGCGTTTTCGGCCAAACTGTAAAAAGTCACTGTACACTACCTGCTCAGCAGACACAGTTCGACACCAGCTGGTGAACAAAGTGGAGCACTTAGCAAGTGAATTTTGTACTTTCAGTCATCAGGTGGCCAAACACAAAACTCCTCATTAATGACTGTTGTTTTGTATCTGCTGGATTATCAACTTGCCCCTCCAAAGTGGCCAAAAATGAGTATTTCTTCAATCTTCTTGCTGAATAACTTTAAGGAGATGCGTGTGAAGACTGATGGAGCACTATATGTCACTAAGATAAATGATGTCCTCTGCACTCTACTGGACTCTAATCTCCCTCTAGTCATCCAGCTGTTAGCCATACTTAAAGCAGAACCACTCTAAAAACAGATTTCACATTTGTTTTAGTCTGCAGTTATGTACGTTTGTATGAAAAGTAAGCTCAAGGTAGAAGGAGAAATACTTTCTAGAGCTGCATTTCTGAAAAATAATTATCAATTGTCACAATGCATGAAGTTTTCTTTCCCTCAAAAATGTGTGACACATTCTAGAGTATAAATCAAAATTGTCAGTATTACAGCATCAGTGGATTTAACTTGATTAGATAAGAGCAGGTGTTTTGTTCACTGAACCTCCCCTGAAACAGCTTGAGCCCCCCCTTGGTAGGCCTGCCTCCCACTTTCAAAAACTCTAGATTAGAGCAATATATCCATCAGTCACAGCTAAAACTATAGTTTAAATATATATATAACCTTGAGGTGTCTATTCCCCTTAAGATGTGACTTCAAGCAGTACGATCAGACACCAGTGTAATATGTGTCCAATGCTGCCATCAACTGGTCAAACTGAGTTACTATCAATGTGCTCAAGCGCTTCATCTGTGTGTGCTCAAGTGCTTCATCTGTGTGTGGTCAAACCTACAGCGTGGAATAACTTGCGCTGCAGTGGCTGGTAGGAACAGATCTCCTTGAGGCTCCAGGTGCAGGACATGCTGGGTCTCTGTCCGAGTCCACTACACGGGGCGTCCAGAAGAACCCGGTCAAAGCTTTCAGGAGGGAAGGGAGGTCCTGGAATACGTTCAGAACACAGGAGATATTTATACATATGATTATTATTAATCTATTTTGTGTTTATTTGTGTCACTCTGTACCTTCAGCTCCCTGTGTCGGGTCGCTGCTCACAGCTCGAGTGCTGTTAAAGCAATAAGCTTTGATTGAACGTAAATGCAACATTTGGGCGTTTTGACGGATTCGATCGATCTTATTTCGGACCCTGTCCAGAGCCACGACCTCGCCCTGCGAGAGACAGACAGAGACAGACAAAATAATAATCAAAAAAACATATATACATAGAAATAAACACAGAAATCTTAATTGTAAGTTCACAAATGTATTTATTTCAGAACTCTTCCACTGGATTCAATAACAATTTAAAGCTAATTCTATTTTTTCATTACACTTCTTTTCTTTGCTAAATGAAATCCTGTAACTAACTTATTGGATTGCTATTTTCATTATATTTCACTTAACGTGTGTCGTCTTTACGAAGGACAAAGAAACCACCAAAGTCGACTCAGGAGTCCTCTCACTCTGAGGAACAGTCATTTTCTGGATCAGTGGTTCCCAACCTTCTTGGCTCGTGTCCACCTAAATGTCTATTCATGACCTTTCATCAGAAGTTTGAGAAGTCCATGAGCAGTTCAAACTTTCTTAAATAGTTTCATTTGATTAACTTTTAGAAGCCTGAAAGGGTAAAAACCACCCCGTAATTAATCATTAGAGAAGAGTCAGGAGAAAAGTGAAGAAGAAATATGTTTTTGATTATCAATGATCCCATTTATCTTATTACCCCTAAGATTTATCCTACGACGCCTTTGCTCTAGATTTAGCTGTGTATTAGATGTGTATTTTAAAGACTGTATTCTCAGATTGAAACCCTGAATATTAACTGTGATCCCTCCAGCAGCAAACATCTGTAACTTGTACCTGATCCCTCATGAGTGCAGCGATGTGGCAGGTCTTCCCTCCAGGTGCAGCACACATGTCCAGGATCCGTTCTCCAGGACGAGGCCCGAGAACGTGTCCCACAACTACAGAGGGGAGGTTCTGCACAACATGACAAAAAACAACAACACATGAGACGAGGCAAAAACAGTGCCTCCTTCTGTTCTGCTACATTATCAATTTAATGACACTTTAGGGACATTGATAATTAGGCACATTATAGCTCTGTTATACATTCTAATAGTATGAATACCTGCAGGAATGCCATGTTGGGTAGAATACCATCGAAGGAAGGACTCTGGTAAAGTGGCTCCACCATCCGAACACCTATTCCTCTAAAATAAAAGACGACAGTGACTGAGTACGTTTTCCTTTTTGGATTTAAAAGCAGCACAATGATTGTTTGACACCGAGGAAGACTGGAGTGTGGTCGATACACAGTTGTCTTGTTTTTAATCATACAGCCACTATGAGAAAGGCCTTTTAACTTTTGGTTATATATATATATATATATGTTAGATAATACATGCAGATATTGTACTGTATGGGTCCAAGAAAGTTTCCTTTGGGACATTAATATCTGTCTTATCTGATCTTACTTGGCAGGTTCATCTGTGCAGAAGATGCCGGAGCGGTCTATCTGAGCGACTCCGTTTCCCACAAACACTCGGTTTCCCTGGAAGCTTGTGGCTCCTCGGGTGCACCGACCGTCCAAGTCAGATAGGACGGACACCACATCGCCTGCCTTCATGTCTGACAACAAAGAAACGCGCGTAAATGACATGCTCGATGACAACAATCAACAAAGTGAAAGCACTGTGATGATGATTCATTTGAATTTAACAGCATCTGTCTTTTGAGTCTTACACTTGGGACTGGCGACGATCCCCGGGACGAAGACATGAGCACCTCTCAGTACGGCGCTGCCGCACTGAGCACCGACCACCACCTCTGAGCTGAGCTGCTCCACGGGTCTGAGAACACGAGAGAGAAGCCGGTCACACTATTCTACATCTACGGCTCATTGGACAACCTCGAACTATGGCAGGGTTCTGGAGATACAGCATATGTTGGCATGAATGGAGAATTAAACGCAACTTTTTCAGCTTTTCCTTTGTTTAAATGTTTGTCTGCAGGTGCATAAAAAAATATATATATATATATGCAAAAATGCCACTATGAACCCCTAAAAACAGAACAGAGCAAGAGATTATTATTGTGCTGTTTTATTCTTTCTTTTCTATCTCTTTGTACCAAAACACACAACTTAAAAATTGTGCACAACTGCAGTTGTTACACAAAAAGATTCAGTGGTTGTTTTTTTTAATCTGTCATCATTCCATGAAGTCTCATGTGGGTTTTTGCCTCAGGAAACACTCGCCCAGTGGTCGGACTGATACTGCAATTTTAAGGCTAAGTGTGTGTACTCCATAGAGCAGATTCGTCTGACGCTGTTCCAGCATTCCTTACATACCTCGGGCCATCGACGGGAAGGAGCAGCACATCTGGAATTTGCGGGTGAGGAAGAATCTGAACGGAGGCTTCCTCTGCTGATGAGCTGCACATCTGCTGCTCAAACAACAACAACACGCTGAAAGATAAGGACACGACTGACCACCGCTGTGGCTGCTTTCCTTACTCCCCTCTTTCATTCTCACCTTTTTCAGCTCTTCTCCTAACTTGTGTCGGATCTCTTCCAGGGGAGCGAGATGAGTGCTGGCCCGAACACAAGTGTACGAGGGCGGGTGAGACAGACACGTGAGCAGCTTCTGGAAACGGCATTCTGCCTCCTGATGGCCGACTGCAGCTAACACCTGAATGCAAAACAAGACGACATTAAATTAGAAGAGTTAAACAACTTAAAAAAAAAACATCAGAAACTTTATTGATTTCAAGTTTCAGCATGTACCCCTAAAACGGCCATCGTACAGTATATTAAAGTGAAAATAACATTACTTCCACCTGAACAAACTTCATTCAAGTTAGATTAAAGATAATTAATAAATACTTCCCAGGAACAGAGCAACCACTGAGGACATCAAGCCCATATCTGCTGTATTTCTTTAGGTCCAAAAGAAAAAATAAACAGGCTATATTATGTTGGAAAGCCCAAAGTTTGTTAGGGAGGGTTTTACTGGAGGAATTTGTACAGATAACATCAGTTTATCTAATATCTAAGCTACGCCGTGAAGGTTTCCGCATCATCCCTGTGTTATCTTTTCCACTGAAAGAGAGGAAGACGTCTATTTTTTAAGAGGCGTATTTATGATTCTCCAGAAGAGAGAAATCACACTTAAATTCCTACCTCCTTGTTTAGGAAGACACTCCGGAGATAATCTGCGACTTCAGGCTTCAGTGAAATCCTCGGAAAAATAGACATTGCTTCAATCTGCACAAAAGAAAAGGATCAGATCAATAACAAATAAAAAAGAATGAAGCACGATTGATGAACTGCAGGAGGAGAATGTAGATATCTGGTTACAGTTTGAAAGCCTCTGATGTTGATTGGATGAGGCTAAAGATCCATCAGTGGTTAAGACTTGAAGACTTGCTGACAGTCTGGTGGAAATTCAAGGAAGAAAGACACCTCTTTGCAGTGGCTTATTCACACAGTACAGAGGCTTATATACTACTACTACTACTACCAATAATAATAATAATAATAATTGTTATAATACTTTACCCACAGGACACAAAATGATCGTAACTGGGATCACTTTAAACTCAAGTTCAAAGACTTTTTAAAGAGGAAAAGTCTGATCTGGTGTATTCATTAAGTTTTATGATGTATTATGTGTATTGTTTTATTTGAAAATTGTTGGCTTTTGTACATAGCTTATGTGTTGTTCTGTTGTGTATATTTTCTTGTTGAGTTGTGTTTTTCATGCTCTTTTGTATGCATTTTCATGTTAGGTTTTGTGTATCTATGTATATTTGGTGCCGTGGTATGTGGCATTAGTTCATGCTTGTCCCTATTAAAAGACATTAAATAAATGATTATCACCAATATTGTATTGAAAAACAAATAAGTAGACGCTATTAAAAACAAATACAGTAAAACCACAGAATAAAACTATTTTAAAAAACGTTAAAAATAATGTATTTTTTATGGGAGATCTAAATGACAATAAAGAGCTTATTTAGCTCGTAATTCTTCTCCACAAGGTCCGTCTTTTATTGGCACTTTTTGAATTAAATCTAGCACGTGTGGTAAAGATGAGTAAGTGAACCCTTAACAATATTAAACAAAACCTATAAATAGACTTTACGTCCCACACACGGGTCACATGTGTAATCTGAACGCAATCAATCTTATTCAACATATCCACTCATTCATAATTAACGAGTGGTCCGTTAAATTAATTGTCTAATATAAGTGTGAAGGCGATGTGAAGGCTTTGGTAATAATCTTTAGGTACTCACGTTCTGAGGAATGGATCGCTTGTTTTGGCAGCTACTTCCGCATACGTCACGAGCTTGGTCACATGACAGTAGTTGAATTCATAAATGGATGTAATGCAGCCTGTTGATCACCAATACCTGTATGATGTTTATGTGTTTATGAATATAAACATTACACACTGTAATGTGATTGAAAGCATATAGGGACAGTTTGAGGGCTTTAACGTACACTACAATTCTTTAAAAAGCCTCTCGTCACACTTTTAAAAATGTTGTTTTTGAATGAAGCTCTGAAAAAAAAAAGTTAACGCGTAACATGCCTCACGTGATCACGTAACACGCCTCCACGTCATCACGTAACGAGAACTGATGAGCTGGGGTTGTTTTTCTTCTCATAGAACCACACTATCAGCAGAAGAAGCCGTGCAAGCAAGACTCAACGCTGTGCCGCAGTTACCACCGGGTTTGCGGAGGCTTTAACGTTAACCGGGAGCCGCTCGACAATAAGCACCTCGTACCTATGTTTACCGTACATGTTTACCGGTTTAGCTACGTTTTAACTGTGTAAACCGGACCGCATGGAGTCGGCGTTCAAACGGTCGGTGAGGTGTTCAGCGGACAAGAGATCATCCAGCTAATGTTAGCAAAAGCCGCAGCGGATTGTAACAGTGTGGACGTGAGAGTGGAGAGAAGCTCGGTGCTCACTGACGGACACGGACGTTAACCTAAACAATGGGCCTCATATTCGCCAAACTGTGGAGCTTCTTCTGCAACCAAGGTGAGTGTAACCGAGGATAATAAGTGTTAGCATGTTAGTACAAAGTGAGCAGTTACCTATAATAACAGTTTATCTCGCCGCTGTGACTCCAGGACTCGCTGTCTTTGTTTAACTCGCACAGTCAATAAACAGCTATTTAAACCAGTTACCCATCTCACCCGCTCTTAATAGTTAATCTGTTTGTCAACAAACGTGATTAACTTAAATTACAGTAAACCTGCTCGAGCGTATTCGTCAGACAGCTTTACTTCACTTTTCAGGACTCTTCACGTTACATAACTTTCCCTAGAAAGCGTTTAAAAGTACTCCTCCATAACATTATGTCTATTGTGCAGTTTGCTAAGTGATTGTATTAAATATGACTCAGTTTTTGCTTAGTTTAACAATGATTCACTTGATATTAGGTCAGTGAAAAACAAAGGCAAGGTATTTATAAAATACACCAAGTAGAAGAATGTGAAAAGGCAACAAATAGCCTCTATAATCCCACCCTTAATCCCACCCTTTCACCCCAACCACCCCAAATGACTTGCATGTCTTTCATCTATAAACTACTTTGTGACACTGTGAAATATTAGGCTTCAGATTCAGGTTGGCTCAGTAGTTTTCTTCCCATATATTGAGTGTTATTCTTGCTGTAAGAACGTTTTTGACTGGAGTTGAAGTAACAAAGGATGTATTGCAGGCTCAGAGTATTGTCATATTCTGCTGTACTCCAATGGTCATTATTGTCATTTGGTGGTGAATATATATATATATATATATATATGAATTCCTCTTGTCTTAATGCCCTTTGGGCTGTGTAGCATTATTGCCCGGCCCTGATTCCGGATTACTCTGTTCCCAGTTTCAAATTGCATTCACTTTAAAGAGATTAGAGGTGAGGAGTTAATTACATCTATATAACACGGTAATTAGGTCTCCTAAATAGTGCTGGGAGTTGTGTTTGAATGTGTCTTGGTGTTATTTTTATCACTTTATTCTATTCTAAAACATTTTGGCTGCAATGTGTGTGTCAAAGAAAAGCCGTCTCATCGATATCTAAGATACTTGTGTGCAAATTTTCTTTTTTTCTCTCCTGGTAATATTGTCAATGTTTTTGTTTATAATTCTGCAGAATAAGCGCATTCCTGTTTTGGAAATGTGACACAACCTGTGTTAGATGTTCTAGGTTTATACATGTTTCCCATAGACTGCTGTTGCTTCCATTATCTCAGAGTTGTTTGCATGTCAAAAAAGGGATTTATTTTTGATGGCGGTGACGGCCACAATCGGTCCTCACAGGGTAGCTCCTCATTAAGGAAGCCAAAGACATCCAACACCAGATCCAGTGCACACAGACTGTCAGAACCACGAGCCCTTCCGACCAGACTTCCTTCCTCCTCGGCTGCCAAAAGCCTCAGAAGGGCCGGAAATGTCAAAACACTAAAGTGGGATATTTTGGCGTGTCTGTGTCAGCTCTGCTTCTGCATTTAGTCCGTTCTGTTTGTCTGCTTCACGGCCGTCAAAGCCTTTACTGTTGCAAACGTTGCTCGCTGGGTTTCACAAATAGAAAAGAAGTTCCTGTAGTTTCAGCGAAACTGGGGGAGGAAAAAAAAAAGAGGTCAGGAAGTTTTGAAATAAGTTCGGCGTGTGTGATTTTAAATGGGCTGCAATGACTGACATGAACGCGTTGTATAGACTGACTCCAGATGTACTTTTACGACGTAATCATTGACACTGTGCTGTATTTGTTTTGCAGAGCACAAGGTGATAATCGTCGGACTAGATAACGCCGGGAAAACCACCATCCTCTACCAGTTGTAAGTCGTTTTATGTGTCAATTCTACAGTTGCAACCGACTTCAACTCGGTCGTGCTTCTGCAGCGAAAACTCACTTTACGATTCTGTTTTTTGTAAAGTCTGATGAACGAGGTCGTCCACACGTCGCCCACCATCGGAAGCAACGTGGAAGAAATAGTGGTGAAGAACACTCACTTCCTGATGTGGGATATAGGAGGGCAGGAGTCTCTCCGGTCTTCCTGGAACACCTACTACTCCAATACAGAGGTGAGAAACACAAGCATCGCTATTGGAGCACATTTTGTACAGCGTGTACTACTTTTCTCACAGATGAGTTGAACACAAGTATTGTCCGGCAGCGGCCGGGTTTTCTTCACGAGCGTTGGCAGCTGGTGTGTTTGTTCGGAGCACAGACGGCAGCAGGGGCCGCCCAGGTCGGAGGTCAGCCTTTCACAAAGGGGCCCGTCTGAAAGGCGAAGCGAGGGTCAGCCTCCGCAGGGAGAAGAACAGGAGAGTCACACCAGAGGCAGATGTGTCTTATTAAAAAGAGCTTGTGAATTAAACGCCCCTGATAGAACATCTGCCGTGGCACGGCAACGCGGTGTGGTCACACGAGACCTCGGCTCTTTCTCTCTTACACGTCTCTGCGAAACATCTGAAGCCGTTTTTTTTTCAACAGATTGAATATTATTCGGCAACTATTTTGGAAATTGAGTGACATTTTTCAAGCTTCTCAATTGTGAGGATTTGCTTTATCTGTCTTTTGTGATGTAAACTGAATATTTTTAGGTTTTTGACTGTTGTTTGGACAAAACAAGCAGTTTTTAAATGTCTGCTTGTGCTCTTGGATATCATTTTTTTGCTTTTTTCTTAAACTGCAACAGTTTTTCAACTCTTTTTATAATTGATGAAGCTTTTTAGACTTTTTTTTTTTCCAAACAAAAATGACTAATATTCTCTGTTTTCAGCCTCTCAGATGTGAGGATTCGTCCTCTCTTTGTCACATATGACAGTAAATTGAATACCGTTTGAACAAAACGAGCACAGAGACACCTCGCCGTGGGCTTGGAGACACAATGAAAATGTCATTTGCACTGTCTAAAAACATTTTACATAAAAGATGAATGGATTAACTGCTAGTTCCAGCAGTGTAAAACGTGATCTCATAAACAGTTAATGCAGCATGTTAGAATAAACTGTGAGCAGTTAAATTGAGATTTATGGCAGGGAAGTACTAAATATTACTCACAACAGAGTTACTATCGGCAACATATATTGTAGTAACATTGCAGTTACTTTGGCAACGTCACTCTTTGTTCCGCCGTGTCAGACTCCTGTAGATCGCTGGCTGTGATTTGGGTCACAGTAATGTTGGATAACGCGTGTGGTTGAAACTTTTCCGCGAGTCGTTTGTTTTTTTAAATGGCGTCTCTCACCAACACGAACGAGCCTCTGGTCCTTTTGTCACACAGGGTCGCTCTCTCTCATTCAGAAAGGGGTTATTAGCATCGCAGTCACCAGAACCCATTGTGTGGCCCTCGGCCCGGAAATGCCCCCACGCTGTGTTGCAGTTTCATTTCTGTAAACGTCTTTTTTTGGCCTCCCACTCTGCAGTTCATCATTCTGGTGGTGGACAGCACAGACAGAGAGAGGCTGGTCATCTCTAAAGAGGAGCTCTACAGGATGCTGGCTCATGAGGTAAAACCATTTCAACATCTCTTTAAGGAAGCACACTACACAGACTGAGTTTTTATTCTGGACTGTGGTTTTCCACCACGGATAGCCCCTTCCACCTCAGAAGGTGGTAAGAGAGCGAGGTTTATGGTTTCATTGTTCTCTGCATTCTCCCCTCAGGACCTGAGGAAAGCAGCTGTGCTGATATTTGCCAACAAGCAGGATATGAAGGACTGTATGTCCGCGGCGGAGATCTCCAAATACCTCACCCTGAGCTCCATCAAAGACCACCCCTGGCACATCCAGTCCTGCTGCGCTCTAACAGGAGAGGGGTGAGCGCTATAAGTTGATTCATATGCGTGTTCAGAGATGTAGTCAGCAGGATTTTAATGAATTCAGTGATTAGATATTCATTAAATTCCATCAAGACCAACTGCCAAAAGACCTAGAAGTACACTCACTATACAGGAGTTTTTATAATGATCAATATCTTGTTTCCTATTAAAGACAACAATGAGACAATAGAAATGTGTACAGATGTTTTGACTAGTTATTCTCGTGTGTGTGTGTGCGCGTATGTACACCTGTGTGTGTGTGTGTGTGTGTGTGTGTGTGTGTGTGTGTGTGCGCGTACACACAAATCTTTTCTCAGCACAAACAGGAAGGAAGCCTCATTCAACTTTATTTGCGCATCACAAGTTGTAAATATGTTGTGCAGCCAGAGGAATAAAGTTCACTGAAACATCCTTGGATAAGTCTTCTGTCTATAAAGAATGTATATTCTTCATTGTTTTTCAAGTTTATGCCAAGGTCTTGAGTGGATGACCTCGAGGGCCGGACTCAGATAGCCCCCCCCCCCCCTCGATGGCCTGACTACCTGCACCGCCCACATGGTGGCAACAACAGCTTGTCCTTATCGACTTCTTCGTACTTTTTATTATTTGTTTTAAATGACAAACTTGGACTTTGAGGAGCATTGCTCCACAGCTGAGTTGTCACAGTGGAGCTGGTGTTTCTCCCGAATGGACCACAGCTGATGGACTGACCTGTTTAACTGGAACCAGAGCTTTTACAGTAAAGGAGGAGAAGATCACCTCAGTGAGTTAAGAGTGTGTCCAAGTGCAAAGCAGGGCTGCACTGGACGTGATTTACACTACACGCATATCATGTCGCACCATATCATATAGCAAGAGAATGCCATAAACATCACGTTGGTGCAGCTCTATTATTTTTGTACTTATTGCCTCTATAGAAGTTTGTTCATGTTCAGGTAAAACATTGACAAGCAAAGGGATTACAAGCAGTATTTTCAAACCAGCTTTGATGGGAATGGTGGCACAAGGGGAGTTTTTCAGAATAATGTTCTCATCCTTTTTTTTTTTTTCGTTCTCATTTCTAGCACAGACATTAATGTGTGTTCCACATGATTTCAGGTTCATAAGCTACATTGTTGGTGGTTATTGTCACACTAGAACTTATTGGTGCCGTATTAAAATGTGGTCAAATATACATCTCTTCTTTATTAACTTTGAGTCTGTACTTATATGTAATTGAGCCAAATGGTGTGAAAGGTTGTCATGCAAACTTTTTTTTTTTTTTCTTAAAACTGACCCTTTAGCCATTAAGTGTAAAATGTTGGGAACATCACTACTTCAAGTACAACACTCTGCTTTGATAACAGTATGTTAAATTTAAACACTTCAATTCTGCATTCTGATTTTTATTTTATTATTTTCATTTGTACTTTATTTTATTTTTCTATCTTGTATTAACATGTGATCATTGGTGCTCTGCAGGCGTCTGTAACGGATCCACTGCATCCTCATATACATATATATAAACATTTCATTCATCTCCAGCAACCATTGTGACCCGTATTCCTCTCTGAACATTTTGTACACCACCAAACGTTTATGGGGAAGGTGTTATTTGTAAAAACATCCTGGACTTCAGTGGTTTATTAGCATTACGATAGTTCAATATTTTGGCCAGCATGTAGTTTAAATGCGTGATCCTCAGCCTTAACCAAGCTGTCGTGAATGAATCTGACAGTCTGGCCATGATTTCTTTTTACCCTTGTTTCCTTCCCTTTGACCCGGTGTAAGAATTCCTTGAACTCGGTGACAGATCGATGCACTCGTCACTTTGAAACCATGTCTACCTTTTGCAACTTCCTTTAGTGGCCAAAAAGGATGAGTTACATGAGTTTCATCGAGTCTGAATCAAAACGGTGAAGAAGAACTTGGTGTCCAGCTTGGTCTTGGAGGGCCTTTGGGTCTCTATACTTTGTGGGACAAGGTTTCTTTACATGGAGAGGAATAAGGGTGGGCTGGTCAGCCCCCAGACTCTTTGCAGCATTGAGCTTGATCTCAAGCAAAGAACTGATTTCCAGTCTGTGTGGTGGTGTTCAGTCTGGGTCATGTACTGTATTTCAGTTTTTGTTTTCAATAAAAACTTTCTTTTGAACTTTGAGCCTGAAATGATTTTCTTTTTTCAGCATCTTTGAAATATACTTCTAGTTCAGGGTAAAAGGAATACTCGACATTTACTTACAAGGTTTGGCCAAATGTCACCTTTCCTGCGTCCTTTTTCCTCTTTTTCAACATGCTATACCAAGACTTGTTTTCGACATGCTATACCAAGACTTTTTATGAACAGATTATATTAAGACTTTTTTATGACGCTTAAGCGGAAGTTCAGTCAGGAAGACTGTCTTTACACTCCTTGTCATTCATAATCTCTCGGTCTCTCTCTCCCTGTGATTACTCTGTTTGTGGGCGTTCACTTTAAATTAACCAACCAGGTAAAAAGAAAGTCCTGTCTATATGTATGTTAAGTACGTTATAAAATGTAAAAAAAAAAGTTTAAAAAAGTCAAAATAACATGTCAAAAAAGCCCATAAAAAAGTCATAAATGTCAATAGTCATGGTACGATATTTCATGAAGTCAAAACAAGTGTCTCAAAATGTCATAAAAAAAGTCAGAGTATAGCAGGCTGCAAAAAAAGTCATAAAAATGTCGTGAAACAAATCATAGCTGGAAATGCTGAAAAGTCATAAAAACATTTTAACCTAGCATAGTCATAATACAGTATGCAATAAAAAAATAAACCAATATTCATGTGCTAAATGAAACACCCTGTGCTGACACACAATGCAAGATATTTGAGAGTGAAAATATTTACCAAATCTCTTAATTAAGATTACTTTGATGGTCCAATAGACCTAAACACACAATTACACAACATATTAGGTGAACATCAGGGTATTTGAATGCATTTCATGAAAGGGTATTAGTGCAGCCCCCAGGCTGGGTTCAGGTTTACAACAGTTACCCTCGATCTCACAAAGAAAGGGAACTGAACTGAAACGGTCAGTGATAGATCAGAGTTAAAGAATACAAGATATGTACTTACAAGCTTGGGCCAAAACCCCCCCAATCTTTCCACTAGAAAGGTGATTTAAGTGATTATGTACCTTATTCAAAGAGATCCAAGCAAAGTAGGATTCAAACAGTTTATTCTCATCTGCAATATAATCGCCAATCAAACGAAGCACAGAGCAGTCAAGAAAAGACACGACTCCTAACCACTTGTAAGGAACGTATGAGGAGCGTCTCAATATCTAAAACAAATAATAAAAAGTACATTAAACAGCCATTTTACTGTAATATTTTCTCATCTAAATTGTATTATACATTCACTTTTCAATGAAGCCTTTGATGAACCGAGGTAATAAGCAAAGAAAAACACTGGCAAGACGTTTAGAAACAGGAATAGATTATGGGAGAGTGAAAAAACATTAGATTTAGACGACATATAAAAGTAATCACGGACCTGAAGAAGAGCAGATTGAAACATAATGGGGACGTTTATCAAAAACTTGCTTTCTAAGCTGCACCCAGGGGCCTTGTTTCCTCGGCCGTGCCCTACTGTTTAAAGTACGGACGAGCTTCCGCAGTAATATGATTAAAAAATAAACAGTTTCAGTTATAAATGCAGCGTTTATGAATTTCAAACTCAGTGCTCAAAAAAAAAAAAAAAAAAAGTTCTCACAGCAACGCATAAAAATAAAAAGCAACACATACAAATAGCAAACAATGAAACAGATGAGTTCTCCGCCGATCAGTCTGTGGCTGTCTGAACCGGGTTTCCACGGACCAAACACGGCCTCTTCCTCAGGTAGGAATACCATCGATTTTAAACTGTCTGTTTCCTTTGATGCTGGTGATTTCTGGACTCCTCTCTGCGACATCATTTGCCAGAAACTCAGCTCGCTTGCCGTCTTTGTTGGCCACTATTACAAGACCTTCGTTTTTCTCAAGCGTCCATGAAGAGTCTCTTTGTAAATGTGGCAGGAGTAGAGAAGCTTATATGTCTGTGTGTGTGTGTGTGTGTGTTCTGTTTGGAGCATAGGGTCAAAATCCATACTGGAGAAAGGTGGAGCTTTTAAGTTTTTAAGAGTCTTTAGAAAATGTCCACCAGCTCACGGTACACGAATCACTGCCAGCAGAATAGAAGGCTTCAAACATGCATTGGTCTAAAGCGTGAAAATGGCTTTTGATGAGGCAGCAAAATCCCAAAAAACACAACAAAAAAAAAAAAACATGACGTGGGGTGAAAAATGAGGAGGAAAAGCTGAGACATTCTTTGGCCGAGGCGTCCATCGGGGAAATTCACACGCACAGAACTCTGGGGAACCTGAGAGAAGATGAGAATATAGATTAAACTAATTAAAACGTGTCGAAGAACTGCATTGGCACAAGAAATCTGCAACACTATTAGCCAAACACCTCCTCCATCCCGTCTAGAAGCCACATCCAATCACTACCATATGGTGAATCATAATAAAATAAATAATAATCCGACCTGTCCTCAGTGAAGCCGTCCATTTCCTCCTCGTCTTCCAGCTCCATGTCCAGCTCGTTGTCGAGACAATCGCGGCCGTAGCCACTCAAGACGCTGCAGGTAGGAAACATGTTTACACCATCATATGTATGCAGACCTTTGTTGGATTAGATCAAAAGCATATATTGATCATATTTTTTTTTTTTTTAATGAGTGTGCTGTGGCTGCTGACCTGACGGAGCGACACGTGAAGAATACGATCCTCTTAAGTTTCTTGTTGTAGAAGAAGTAGTTGAAGGACCAGAGGCTCCCCTCTTCACCAAAAGGGTCCGAGTCCAGATCAGGGTTGTAGCTAAGAACAAAAACAGCAAGCTCAGAACCGGCCGAACTCAAGGATTTTCATCAGCAGCATACATGCTGTATAACACACACGCACGCTTGTGCACACACACATACCTGTAAATGTCACAGCTCTGCAGGTTGATCTCCTGGTCGATGGCATTCCACAGATCCGGCCCCAGAGAGTTGAACTCCTCTCCCACAGCTGAGAACAGGCTGCCGTTCACTGCATTGGCCACCTGGAGCGAGGTCATAGTCAAGTCATTATTATATTAAAGAGTATTTTTTCCCCCCAGAGGGCAGACTGAGCTACAGAGGAGCACACTGACCCAGTTGAGGCTGGGCTCCCGGCTGAACTCGTGGGCTCGTGCGGCGCTGAAGTCGTAGTCCGGTCTGAAGGACTCGTTGAGCGTGGTGATGAGGTAGAAGATAGTCTTCCTGCAACACTTGTCACTCAAGGGGTTCTCCCCGTCCTCACTGCTCTTCCCCAACCTGGACAGAAAAATAGGAAAAAATTCTTAGTTAACTTATCCAACTCTAGTGTTATTCTCGTAAGAACCCACACTCTGTGCTAGTCTTCACTGTGGGCTGCAGTACTCACTTTGAAGGGCTGGTGGACTGGGGGGGAGAGAGGGCCTCCAGCACGTGGGGCTCCCCCTCCTGGCAGAACTGCTTGAACATATGTTTATCGTCCCCTGCCATCTTACAGGAGTAGCTCTCCATCCTGGAGGGAAAATGAGATATATATATATAAATAATACAATACCACATGATCCATATTCATGAGCTAAATGAAACACGTGGGCTGAAAACAAAATACATAGAGCCTGAACGACTTCTTTTATGTTATGGAAAAACAAAACATAAATACTGTAGGACTTTATAGAACGTATTATAGAATACCAGCAATGATACAGACTTCTTTTCTATATTTTTGTGTTGTTCAGCTCCAGCAACCTGAACTGAAAGAGCACCATGACCGCTGACTTTAAAAAAAAAAAAAGAACATACAGATAGCCCCAGTCACAAGTCAGGGCTAAAGATACTCATGCGTGTTCCCGTTTGTGGGTCAGACGCCACTGTAAACAGATACGCAAGTGGAGCAGACCGGTGTGCAGTTGTTTATTTTGCCTCCTCCCACCGATGGGTTACGCAAGAGCGAAGGTTACGCAACTTAAGACGGACAGACCACCGAGACCCTCGCTGGCCTTGCCAGCCTAATTTTAGGGACATTGGTTGGCAGCAAATACCACAGTGGAAACAACTGCACCGGCTTTCCATCCACTACACAGCTGACCTGCCGACAAAAACACCGAGTAGCGAGGTGACACCGGAGCCGAGTGAAGCTTGTCTGTAGAAAATATACATCAGCTAGAAGCCTGATGGGTACATTTTTAGATAAAGCCTGCAGCTTGCCTCTCCTGCTGCTATGATGGGCTGCCTCGGTAATCCAGTAAGCAGTCTGAACACCAGCAGCTCTCAGCCATCATGCAGCGTCACTGTACGTGTTCATGTGTGCATACATACGCTCCCAATAACACCCTTCACTACAGTCTCCAAATAGCTACAGAGCGGTGTGAGAGGACACCATGTTGTGCGTCAGTCCAGGTCACAATCAGCACCGAAGCTCGGCTTCACCACCCACACTCAAAAGGCCTGCGCTCAGACTGGGCTGCATAACTTCACAAACCACTGGCCTTTATGTAACTGCACTCACTGTCACTGCAAGCCTGCTGAAGGCCATACATAGCCCACGTCAAAAACATGCAGCCATTAATATCTATCTAAAGTATATACTCTATATTTATGGCATCTAGGTTATCAGTCTGTTATCACAGATTTGCATGACATGCAGGCACTTGTTTGCCCCATCACCCCCATTCACCTCACTTCATCCATGACATCATAGCAGACAAGGTTTCTACTGTATAAGAAAAACGTACAGTCAAGCTTGACTACAATGGCTCTTATTTTGGTATAAACACAACGTCTAAAGTCTGTTGATGTGCTACAAAAAGTGTGAGTGTGTTCTGTGTGTGTCAAATCACAACTGAAGCTTGTCTGAGTGAAGCAGACTCTTGGAAAAAATTATGTTAAAAGTCTGTAAATACCCTACTTATCCCCTGAAATTAAGATTGCAGACGTGTGTCTGTCTCTCATATATACACATACATACACAACACTGAGGAGCTGTTAATGTTGCAACACAATCTTAAGCTCTAGCTTTGGCTCTTTACCTGCCAAGAATGCGAGACTCTCCTGTTTCAACACACAGCCGAGAGCCGAGGGCTTCAAAGCTGGAGCTTTCCAACAGTTTCATTGCGATCTGTGAAAATAAAAAAAGCAACATCAAGTTAAATGTTAGTCAATCGTTGTTAAACAAACTTATTTTTTACTGTGCATTTTTTAAACATTATACTATGGCAACATACTATAAGATGTCTTTTTCGACACAAACCAAGTATGACTAATCTTGACATACCATTGCTTTTTTTTTTTTTAAACATACTATAATATAACCTTTTGATTACTTAAAAAAAGATATATTTTAAAAAAATTCAGAATTAAGTGTGTCAATAACGTCATAATATAGTGTCGAAAAAAGTAATTTAAATCCGTAAATACTTCATTAGAATTTAACAATAATTTATTACACATGCATACAATTTGAATAGTGCAATGGTTGCCATGTTCGCTCAGTTCCTAACCAACTGTATTAGTTAAGGCAGTACAGAAAACATATTTTAATAAATAAACAACAACATACGTCTATATAAATAATTGGCACCGGGGGCTACAGCGCCCCCGTGTGGCCCCATTTATAGGTCACAACACCGTTTCCTCTTTCTGTAGACCACTGCCCCTCCCCCACCCTGCTCAATCGAAGTTGACAAATCGTCTTCCTGGTTCAATACGTCGATGTTATCATTTTCACTTACCGGGCAATGTTTTCAGCGTACACGGGCAGAAAACAACGGGTTCAACCGTCAAACCGTAGAAACTCTTCTTAACCCAACTGGTGACTCTGTGTGGAGATTATAGCGACCCCCGCTTTGTTGACGACCACAGCTAACGTTAGCTAACGGGTTAGCAATGCTAATAAACGTTACCTCACTTCTTCACTTCACAGCCGCGCTATTAATTCGTACTCGAGTTTAAGCGTCGTACAAAAGCACTCGGTCGAGAACGCGTTATTCTGAGGCCTTTTTTTAAATTTATAGAAAAACTGCTCTTCCCGATTAAATGCGATGAGATTAAATCCAGAGACTGTTGGCGTCCGTCGGAGTCTGTCTGCAGCGGCATCCCTTTCGACCTGATGTCACAAAAAGGCTCGTATTGGCTTAAATCAAGTCGCCTTTTTTACCAAGCGACTCGATCACAGTAGTAGCAACTAACGAGCTACCTATCCAAGTAATCGTCGATTACGTCAAAAGCACATCTACTCTCATGAAAACAACGGAAACCACTGTGTGGTAGCCCAGCCCCTTTTTGTTTATATACGCCTGGCCAACGTACACGCCTACTTCTGCACAAGCCCCCATCGTGATTGGCTGTTCATATGGATGACAACTAATGTGATTGGTTGAATCTTGCTCGGTCACAGCCTAGAACTGTGTCAAATGTCTTGACTGTTTATCGCAACGCAGCAACAGTAAATTCAGGGTTGTTTTGCTTGTATTTAAGATATGTTTGTTCACTATCTGTCTAGGATTTGCAACAGTCATTTGGAAGCATTGGAATACTTATGCATACGTATACATGCATGTATTCCCAGTCTCTATCTCTGCATAAAACACGTAATATGTATTTCCTCGACGTGATCTAGATCTATTTTCTTCATGATTAAATGGTCCAATATTGTCTTTGCGCACCAGTATTCAGATTTTTTTTGTGTCTTGGTTTTGAGATCACATATATTTCGCCTTTGCCCTGTGTTGTCAAATTGTATCTCTCACTTTTATTATTGTATCGTAAAACAGCCTGCACTGAACTAAATTGCACGAAATGTGCTGACTGGTTTCAATGAAGTCTTAGTGTAGGCTCAAACAGCATGCAACCACAGTGTGATGATCTGAAGAGATGACATCCATAAAGTAAATAGCAGACTAGCGGAAACTGCTATATTGCGCACAATAATAAATAGGCATCGATAAAACGGTTATTAAAGCATGCTTTTACGAATGTTTGTCGGCCCAGTGGCCTAATGGATAAGGCATCAGCCTCCGGAGCTGGGGATTGTGGGTTCAAGTCCCACCTGGGTCGTAATTTAATGTATTTACATACCCTAAAGATACAGCCTTGACTGATAATTAGTGTTGTCACTTACTTACACATCTGATAAAAAAAATACTTGCTTAACAAAACCATGTAATACTATATTAACTGTCACGTTACACATGCAATTGATCACCACAACTTCAGAATTTTAACATTTTATTGTCAAGTCTGACTGATATAGTCAGAAACATTGTCCAGGCCTGTGCACTCATTGTCCAGGTACTCTAAGATCACATTACCCCCATTGTACAGGGGAGTTACTTGGTGAGCCAGCAGCAAGAGCAGAGTGTCGTCCATCTGCAGAGCCTCACCTGTCTGAGGATGACATAACCGCAGCTTCTACAAATGGAGAGAAGAGAGGCACGCTGTTAGTGTTATTCAACAAATAAACATTATGCTATGCTTCTTGTTTCAGGAATATAATAAAGTATGTTTTAAAATGAATTACACATGGAAGAAAACATGGCTTCTAAGTTTAGCAAAATATGGAATTCCTTTGTTCTTTCGTACCTTATTGGCTATAAACTACAACTATAAACTTTAGCCGTCATGCTTACGGCTGTTTGGTAAAAACTGGTTAACCCAGCTTCTTGTAATGCAATGCATGTGTCCTAACAGGATCGATCTATGTGTAGTTCATGTTATGTGTAGGAGGAAACTCTTTTTGAGCTTTACTGTTGACAATCCTCTTTGTTATCATATTTTAAAGAGTGGAAGTTATGGAGAAAACAAGAAAAGGGAATCTAAGAAACAAGGGAAGCAGATAAGACAGTTGACTCTACGCTTGCGATGTTACCTTAGCTGTCAGTATATTATTGTTGTTCTTGAGGCTCGCTAAAGAGGCTGCATAATCCACCACTTTCCCCACACTCCATTTGGAACAGAAGAACATGGGTTGGCTGGAGTCTTTGGATTCTTTAGGAAGATAAACCTGAAAATAGGTTCTCTCTGTCTGAAAAGCAAAACAAGTAGTAGTCAGTTGGATAAAGTAATAAACATATTGTCAAACTACTATTAATGAAAGGAATCGAGACAGCTAGCATTGTACCTGTGGCAGCCCCTTGACTCCTGTAGCATGCAGCTTCAGTTTCATTAATGCTACCTTGGCTGCAGTTGCACTGCTCTTTGCTCCTCTGCGTCCTTTACTTTTAGATGTGTCCTTGGATTCTGAGTCGCCACAAGACAGAAATACAAACACAATCCAAATGTCAGTAGGTTGAGATGTCCATTAGTTATGACAAAGACGAGAGCATTTTGTTTAATACTGATCCCATGTGGACAAATAAGGAATCACAGAAGAAATGTTGTCAAGATGGCAACTACCAGTGACGGTACGACATCGTAACTAACCAATAATCTTTTGCACCAGCTCTTTGGTGGCTGCCATTCGAGGCTTTTGGACCTCCAGCTTCTCACACTTGTGATCATCTTGGTGACGATGGCTATAAGGCAAGAACAAGAGAAATATGAACCCTTCAGTTTACCGGTTTCATTGATAAAATAGAGATATGCTGTACATAATATAGTAACCCCTTTCCTTTGACTGCTTCTGTATGAAGTATATGAGCTAGGATCAACACATGTAATGTTGTTTTATAAAAAAGGTTAAATGAAAAGAGAAGTAACTGTAAACTTACGCCAAACAGAAATGTTTTTCACACTGCGGACATATTACCGGCAACAGTTCTTTCCCTTTGCAGTCTTGAAATGAGCATGGATAACTTGTGCTGCCTCCCACATTCTGGGAAACCCTTTTCACTGGCTCCTGGAAAAAGTCAAAAGAAATATTAAAAACAACCCAGCCAGTATCTAAATAACTAAGGAACAGAGGAACAAATGTTCCTGTAGTAATCTTATCAAAGGTCATTTAGAGTATGTAATCAGAAACACGGTGTACCACTGAACATGAATGGGCCTCTCTGCTTCTGTGATCAAGGCTGTAAAAAACAAACAATATGAAACACACATTTTTGATGAGGATGGCATACATTTGGTTGTTAAAGATTTGTGACCAAAATATGTATCAAAATCAGCTTATATAGGGTTGAAGTTACTAGTAATTATGCAGGTAGTAGAATATTGTCTTTCTTGAAGTTGAGTTTTTAGTCAATGTGGAATAACTATTTTATCACTTAGAGTAAGGTATGAATGCTTCCTCTAACTTTGGACATTTCTTGGGATATGTTGAATTCTTACCAGAAAACACCACTGCAGAGCTCACAGACAAATGGCAGGAAATCTAAAGGAAGAATGAGGAGAACAAAATGTAGTTAGTCTCAGAGCTGAACTCAAAAACAAACTTCATAACGCAGAAACTTCATAGCCAACTCTGTCAAAGTCTGTCTATTAGGTACGAGATATTGGGGAGAGGTCTGAGAGTAATGGTGGTAGATAGTGGATTGTAGCTGCTGTACAGTGATGCTGATTCATTTGAATCAGGCAGAAACTATCACTAGTAAATACAATAAAGTTACCTGAGAGCTCAACACAATCTCTTCGCAATAAACCGTTTTATATACAAGCCTTTTATTCTATATAATAACTGAAAACTGGTGTCCAACCATGATTAAAACGGTTTAGTTGCGGTTAGTTTGCTAGCTACCGTAGCGAGCTAACAGTTGCTAACAGCCATATAATAATAAAGCTAGCTAGCTAGCTAGCTGACAGGCTAACCAAGCTAAAGAGCCGCTCGGTGTGTTTCCTATTAACACATACGGCAGAAGAATATCACACGTCAACATATTTGCTTTTTGGTATTCATATGGAGAGGACACGGACCGTTCTGACTGCAGGAATCGATCTGACAATGCTTCCCAATGTCTATTTCAGCCATTAGATAGCCGCTAGTATGCGGATGTCAACACGAACTCTGACCCCAGCAGTGACACCACGTGACTTTTCACTATGGTCATATTAATTAACATTTTTATTTTGTGGGACAGTATTTACTTTTAGATTAAATTGGGATGCAGGTTTAGTAATACGTTTATTTTTTTTATTTTTTTTTACTACCAGAGTGAAAAAGTGGAGGGCGTCAGGTGTCACTACGTCACTCAGGTAATGGTGAAAGGTGTGGTGAAACTAAAGGTGTGTTCACTGGCTGGTTTGAATTGAAAGCACAAAGCCGTTGAGCTGGAAAATCTGCTCGGAACACACCCGCCCGTAAAACATTGTGAAGTAGGACTTAGAGAGGCTGGGAGAGCTCGTGTGCACTTCAGTATACCTTCACAGCTTACAGCTAAAACAAAATGAGCAAAATCGCGAAATTATTCAAGGGGAGCTCCAGCTCGAGCTCGTCGAGCTCCTCGAAGTCCAAACACCACAGGTCGCGGGGAGGACCATCACCCCAAGAGGCCATTCACAAACTCCGGGAAACAGAAGAAATGCTGACGAAGAAGCAAGACTACCTGGAGAAGAGGATAGAGCAGGAAATCATGATCGCCAAGAAGAATGGCACTAAAAACAAGCGAGGTATGATTTTAAACCTATATCCGTGCACCTGTTTTTCTTTGACACTGCCTTTTATTATGTGCTCCAGTTATTGAGCAGCCTATTGTAAAACTTTAACAATGTTTAAGGGACATATCGCAGTAAAACGTTTTACAAGTATTAAAAAAGAGGTTAGGAACAACAAGGTCCCCAAAGCCATGGCTACACATACTTCCCAGTAAGATAATTGGCTGACAATGATTTGTTTTTGTTCAGCAAGTATAACAGGTTTGTAACAAGTGACAGATAAACTAAAAGGAATTTCATTTTATTAATAGACTGTATAAGTGTATCTCCCTGTGCAAGAAACCTACAGTGTTCACTGTGTTTTTCTCAGTTGAATCAGCTCAAAACTAAAAATAGACAAAGGGAGGAACCTTGGTATCGTTTGTATCTCAACGAACAAGAGCAAAGGTGTGAAGTTATGGCAAAGAATCATACGGTATTTGTTTTATCAGCTGCCCTGCAGGCCCTGAAGAGGAAGAAGCGCTTGGAGCAGCAGCTCACGCAGATCGATGGCACGCTCTCTACCATCGAGTTTCAGAGGGAAGCTTTGGAGAACTCGCACACCAACACCGAGGTCCTGAAGAACATGGGCTTTGCTGCCAAGGCCATGAAGAAGGTCCACGAAAACATGTAAGATGGTCCATTAAAGTCCTGGCATGGTTGTATTTTGGTATTGAGCAACACACATCATTTAAATGAAAGTGGAATTAATCATGTGTAATCTAAACCCTTTTATCTCTCTCTTCTCTTAACACCAGGGACATTGACAAGATAGACGATATGATGCAGGATATCACAGAGCAACAGGACGTGGCCCGAGAGATCAGCGATGCAATCTCCGGACCTTTTGGCGAGACATACGACGAGGTTAATACCTTATAGTCCCTGCATCAAAATCAACATTCATAGCATTCACTCTCCTAATATGCATTGTACTTTCAGTGTGACGCCTGCTAAACTTTTACAAAAATGCACCTGACAACACTCCTGTGTGTGTTTTTTTTAGGATGAGTTGCTGGCAGAGCTGGAAGAGCTGGAACAGGAGGAGCTTGAGGACAGCATGAAGAGTATGGGCGGACTACCCAGCGTGCCCAGCTCCAAACTGCCGTCAGCAAAGCCCAGTCACCGCGCATGTAAGTGCAACGCTATGTTGGACGGCAAATTACTACAGCCGAGACATTACGCATTTCACAGTGTACAAGCCACGTTCACAATGTTATCACCAAATATGTATTTTAGAATTAAACTGCCACTGTTAATTTTCAAGCATGTGGCCGATACTGATGACATAGAAATATTTGCTGCTTTTTTTGCATAGGGATTAAAACTTTATACGTTAAGGTTTTTTTGACTGTTGGTCAGACAGAATCAACGATTTTAAGATATTCTTATAATTTATAATTCTATCACATTCATTGTTGACCGTTTCTTTCTTTTTACAGCAACCAAGAAAAGGGTTGAAGATGATGACGACATGCGTATGCTGGCATCATGGGCAACTTAAGTACATTAAAGTAGCCTGAATGTACTTCGCCAGCTCTCTCTTGTGTAAGCTTTAATATTTTTGAAGATTGTTAGGGAAAATGAAGAACATTATATTATTTTAAAAATAAGCTTTCTGTCTATCGGCTTGTCATGTCACTTTACAGGTTATATTTATCGAGAAATAAAACATTTTGAAGTGTAGAAATCAACAAACTGTATTTTCCTGTCTTTACATTGATCATTCTTACTTTGCCTGTACATAATGCACTACTTTCATAGCCCTAAAGACGTGGATATGACTGTTTTTAACTTATAGAAGACAATGCCTAATAAGAACTGTATTGGCTGTATATAAAGTCTAATTTTGCATGAATGCTGTAAATATATTGGTTTCTTGCTTGCATTAACGTTCAATAAAAAAATCAGTACCCTATTGTCTCATAATATTTGTCTACTTTATTTACAGTGGCTTGGAAATTATATTTGTTTGGATTACAAAAATAAACCTACACATATTGGTCAATGTGGACTTATATATTCTTTGTAATAAATAATAGATAGTTTTATTAATCCCGCAAGGTGAAATGTGTTCGCTACAGCAGCATTATGATACAGGTAAGCAATCAAAGTAACAGAGTCAAAATAAAAATATTGAGTATAAATATATACAATGAAATAGAATAACTGTTAAATCAACTAACTAAACAATAGTGCAAAGTTAAATTAACTAACTAAACAGTAGTGCAAAGATTTTTTAACCAACAAACAACAGAGTTATAGTTTTGTGAATGATTTGGCCAGAACATAATATATCTATATAAGTAATATGGTTTACGTTATTTATGGTGAGTATTGGACTTTTTAAGACATTTCAGTTCACTTGATATTCATGTGTATTTACATTGTAAAATTACACTTTTATTGTCGTTATCTTACATCCGGAAAGCTTTTATTTTGAAAGATGTAACCTTCTCACGCCGGTTAGCTTAACACTTCTGTAAGCAGATACAAGGAAGTCCTCCGTACGGCGAACTATAGACGCCCAAAGACTAACAATACCTGAAAAAACCTGAATCAGGGTTAAGACAGAGTATGGAGGAGACGAAACAACTTCAGGCGGAAGGTGAGCCGGTGACTTTACGGTCTATAACTGTAACGTTGGCGTCAGTTGTCAAACAAATGTTGAAGTTTCCGTGGCTATTAAAATTAGCGCCAAGTTAGCAAACTGTTTGCAGGCTAAACATTAGCGTTAAACCGGAATGTGACACGTTTCAACACGCGATATGCCACGACGAAGAAAGACATATTCCACGTACTTCCGTGTGTTATTACACAGTTATTGTGTTAATACCATATTTTATACATGAAATATTTAAAAAGTAATGTTGTTTGTTGTCTTCTTGTAGTATGTTGTATTATGAGTTTTATGTGGTAGACAAAAAACACTACAAAACACATACATTAGGTTGAACTAAATTATTAATCAATTAAGGAATTATTTTATAAAATATCATGGCTAAACTATCAGATGATCAATTGATTGTTTAGGTAGTCTTAAATCACAATTAATTTATGTAATTAATTGACAACACAAATACCCTTGTATGTAAACTATTGACAAGACAATAGCAACTTTTATCAATACTGAAATGTATACATTTAATGACCACAGCCACGGATGCTCCTGGACCAGAAGAGGAGGCCAAAAGGGCCGCCGCTGCAGCCAAGGTGGCTAACCGCCTGCCTGAAGTTCGCCTGGTGGTGCTGGGCTGGAGGTGGCCCGGGAAGAGCCTGACTGGAAACACCATCATAGGCCGAGAGGAGTTCCGCTTGGAGCGGGCATCCGAGTTCTGTGTGAAGAGGCAGACGGAGGTGCTGGGGCGGCAGCTGACCGTGGTGGACACTCCGGGCTGGTTCTCGGCCCAGGACACGCCGCCCTCCTACAAGGAGGAGCTCGTGAGGGGGGCGACTCTTTGCCCTCCGGGTCCACACGTCTTCCTGCTCGCCATCCCCGTCGGCATGTTCACAGAGGTGGATCGCGCTCGCATCGAGGAGCACGTGAGCCTCTTTGGCGAGCGCGTGTGGAAGCACACGATCGTGGTCTTCACCTGGGCCGAGGTGTTGAGGACCATTTCCATCGAGAGGTACATTCGCAGGGAGGGAAAGGAGTTGCAGTGGGTGCTGGAGAAGTGCAAGCGAAGGTACTTTGTCATTAATAACTGCATATTCGGGGAGCATCCCCAGGTGGAGCGTTTGCTGGAGAAGGTGGAGAAGATGGTGGCAGAGGAGGGGGGCTACTACGACCCAGAGGAGGTGGAGAAGGAGAAGAAGGAGGAGAAGAAACCTCTGGATGAGAACCAGAATCCAGCTCGCGAGGGACGGGAGCTGGGGGCACGGCCTAAACAGAACTCTGTGCTGAGGTTGTCGAAAACCATGGAGGTGGAGCCGCATTCCAGTGAGTGATGCACACATTTCGGCTTCCAAGAAAGTCAAACTGGAGCCTAAAAATGATATGAGTTTCTTTCTTTTTTTATTTCAAGATAACAGTTAAAGATCATTAGCCTCTAAAACAGCACTAGAATAATGAAAATGATGTAAAAGTGGAGCCCTGTTAATAATGCACTGTGTTTTATTGTAGATTAAAACATGATGGACCCGCTCAACCACAACCACAAGAAGGAAAAGCGTAACTGAAATTTCACTGACTGTACAAACCAGTGACTTATTTATTTTTTTAATCTGTATTTTAGGTGTGTTCTTTATGATTCTCACTGTGATGACACGAGAGGCCTTTGCCACATATGTTTTCATGTTTCATGATTTATGTTTCCTTTAGTCCTTCAGTTTTAAAGATGTTCTTGTTTTAGCATCTTGAGGGTTGTGTGATGGGAGGGATTTAATCTAATCCAAAACAAGGAAGCACAAACTATTACACGTCTGGCCGTCATCAATTTTAAAGCCAATGTGTAAACTCTTTAAAGTCTTGGCGAATACCAACGGCAGAACTGCACTAATAAACTGTTACTAATATTCTGCCGATGACTGTTGAGGGAAATTGTTTTTCTTTTGGCAATTCCCATTTGTTGTGACCAAACTGTAAATGCTTTTTCTCGTGCTGCGATGTTTATTACTCTTTCAGTGTACAGTTATAAAGCACATTAGTTATTGATTAAATGGATCTGTCACGTATATATCACTGTGGCAGAGGGATATATTTCAGGAAAGGATGCCTGGACACAAAGAGCGAACTGTTATGATAGCCGATTAATTGTTTAAATTATTCTTTTCAATCAGAAAAGGTAAATTCTCGCGGCTTTGTTGATTTTCTGAAAGTAAACAGTAAATATCTTTGGGTTTCATAGTGTGTTCGACTAAATAAGCAATTTAAAGTCATCTTTTTGGGCTTTAGGAGACTGTAATGGGTATTTTTTTAAGATTTTGACAGACTAAACAATGAGCTAATAGAGAAAATAAGTGTCAACCTTAAAGGACGCCCAAACACTGCTGCTGTTAACTTACTCTTTAAGGGTATGAGCAGTGTGTTTGAATGTAAACATAACTCTGTTTACAAGAAAAAAAACCAGCAGGCAAGGTTTTTGTTTGTCGAAAAACAATAATCTCGGTGAAACCTGCTGTAGTCTGTTGCTTTCAGTTGGCTACACAAGCAGTAAGCAAGACTCTCCAACTCTTTGTTGTGGTGTACTATTATTGGATGGCGGAGTCAGCTGCTCTGGACAGACACTCAAATCTTCTGAGGACACGTGTAACTGTTTTTTATAGGCCCTTGATAGCTCACTGTAATGACCACCAGATGAATCGGGTAGTGTTACACCACCATCTGACCATACACAGGTGAACACAGTCGTGATTCGATGCCTTGAACGTATCCCTCTGCTGCAGATCAGTTCACATATACACAGTTACCAACTGCCAGTTTAACCCTGTTCATTTAGTTTTAGTCAACCAACCCTGGTGAAATGTAGGTGTGACGGGACAATCGAATAGGAAACCAGCAAGGCCCCGATGGCCAACTGACTCAAAGCCTTTTATTACGGGGAAGCTGTAGATACTGTTCCTTAAAGAAGCTGTCAGCCTTTTGCATGAATGTGTTTTTACTTAGTAGAGAGTAGAGAGCAAATCCAATGCTGTATACTCGGACATGACATGTGATAATACTGACGTGTTTGTTGACACTAAGTGCTGAAATATGATACAGGAAAGAGGTCCGCTGTAGACCGAATGTACACTAGTGCCTAAACTCATTCTCTGATTTTTTTAAAAAGTTTTATTATATTTAGCGGTTTGACATAAACACGTCATGAAAAAGTACTTTAACACTGCTACAGGTGTGGGGCATACTGTATTTGATTAAATGATAATTAGCATGTTTTCAAAAGCAACATGGAACCACTAATCCACCAGTCAGAAAACAGCAGAATTTATTTAATAAAAATATATATAAAGGATGATTGGACACAAAATAAGGTCAGGATATAGCAGACGTGTACAAAAACTGCTATTGGGGCACGCAACCTAATACAAGCCACATCTGTAGCAGTGTTTGTAATGGTGTTGAGTTACTTTCTTAAGTCCAGCATGTGAATCGGGTTACACTTAAGCAATTAATGAACGTAACGGAGGCGACTGCTTTTGCTGTATCTTCTGTAGACTTATTGTCTTATTATTATTATATGTCTTATTGACCCACACTATTTGCAGTAGGTTTGCTTCTTAGAAATGCTCTGTTGTTCTAAGCTCAAATAAATGTGTATTTTGATCCAACTCTGGGGCCTGTTCCTTGAAACATTTACAGGTAAATGTGCCTCTTTCATTTCCGAATGATCGGTTTGAGGTGAATTTGAATGCCTCGGCTGTAACTACAGGCCATCAACTTTAGAACTATTGGCTTGAATAGAAGAGACAGCTATAAAGCTTACTAAGGCTTCAACTTCATTATGGATGGATAGTTCAGTTAATGAAATGTGGAGAACAAAATGTAATGTTTATGTCCTGTTTTATGCGACCGTCCAAAACCAAAAGATATTAAATGTATTATCATATAGGACAAATAGAAGCAGTAAATCCTCACATTTATAGAGCTGGAACCAAAGAATATTTGGCATTTCCTCTTGGAAAAACTATTAATCAGCCTTTAAAACAGTTAGCTAACTGATCACTCTACTAATTGTCTCAGCTCTAAAGATTAAAAACTATTATAATAAGTAGCCTGCATATAAAGAGACAAAGATAGTCTTGTTGTGTAAAGAGACAGGAAATAAGCTGCTATCACAAAGTAGTAGAGATGTTTCTGTGATGTAATACTTTAGAAGAAAAGGATTCATCTTGTTTTAGTTCCTTTATGGACAGCAGTTGTGTTCTGTGGTTCGACCACTAGATGGCAGTAAAACACCAAGTCACAGAGACGACGGGACACGTTTACAACAGCAGCAGTTATGACCTTGTCTACAATATATTGATAAACTGGATTTGGGGAAAGTAATAGCTGGGTGTCGCAACGATTAACACCCACTTATTATTTAGGCAAAATGTGCAGCGCTTGTCTTTATGTAGCACGCTTCATTACTCCCCGACTCTGTCCTGGAGTTATTGCTCTGGTGCGGAACATTATAGAAGTTTAATTCTCTTGTTGTCCTTTGTGGTCCTGCACGGTCTGTTACAGGGGTGGTCGAACTATTTTCATTGTGGGCCATAAACTGAAAAATATAGGCAAAGGAGTCACGGGCAAAAGTCTTAGATATAGATATAGAAGATATAAAGTATACAATAATGCTCTTTAAACTGAATGCTTAATGAAGCTGCAGGGAGATTTCACGCTCAAGTGATTGACTTGCAGAATGAAAAACTGGATTTCCTCCAAATTAATCAGCATGATCTTTTTTTAATTTCTTGGCATGCATTTATTAAATGAATTCTCCGCTGCTGCTTTGAATGCATATGCACACAAATACTGATTAATGGAGCTATGGAAGTGGTTGTATATTAAATTAGCTCCTTCTCTCCTATAGAGCTGTAGAAATACAACCGAATGTACACTTAAATGAAAAACAAGACATTATACACAGCAACGGTTGCAGGCTACAATAGCACTATAGAGAGGGTGTGTTTGTTTTTAACAACATTGTTTATTATTTCAAATGTAATCAAAACAACAGTTACAGAAATTACAGACAGCGAGCTATGATACTGTGTGATTTTGAGCCTCATTGTGTGTCATGATAAGATAAAACAAGGTCACAGTTCTTGTTTCTTTATATTTAGCTCTGACGATCGGGCCTGTGAGCCAACCCCATAAGTCAGTAACATATCTCAACAACATCACTATGCTGCTATTCGTCATCTAAAATAACATTGTTAGGAAAGTGGGAATTAAAGTAATTAGTCAAGTCCAGTGAAGCAAGTGAAGACTTTTGCTGTTTCCATCATCAAAGTGTCGAACACAAACGAATCCGACCGCAGGCCACTTCCTCTGACGGTGAATATAAAAACACTTGCAGTTTCAGGTGGCCGTGAACACAAGCAGATGCGATAAACACAGTTTAATCAAATTCCTCACACGTTTACTCATGTGTTTGTTTTTTTTAAAAAGATTAAATAAAAGAAACCACCTTCCAACCGCATTAAATGCAGAGTACTTCTCTCACTACAGCTACCGCTTAAACAAGTGGAGCAATCCAAACACAATTTTTTGTGGCAGTGAACACAAGCAGATCTGCCAAGCACGCTCGCAAGGAGCATTTCTACGCAGGGGTCAATGTTACCAACATTAGAGGAAGTATCTGTATGCATAAAAAGCCTGTTAAACGTTATGCTTTTTAAACACCGATGCTGAAAGGAGTTACGAGGAGTCATGAAAGAGGGTTTGAACTCTCACCGAGACCACATTAGATCTCAGAGTGGGTCGTAAAGAAAGGGCTACGTGAGGGTTTTAAACAGCCAGTGAGTCCTTGATTTGGTATTTGTACATTAATCTGTGCATCTTTGGGTGAGTCAGTGTATTTGGAGGATGAAATGTATTTGTCAGCAGTTGGCTAAACCCCGCCCCCTTAATAACTGGTGCTACTCCAGTTAAACTTTCCCTTCTCAAACCTATGTTTACAATGATAATGTGGCAGATTTACATAGACTGTATATAAGAAGCAGATTTACCATCAAATTGATTTATTATTTTATTAAAACGATACGTTGCTAAGCAATGGACCGTTCCAGACTCTCGATTATCTCGTTAGCTGTAATTAGGCTAGCTAATTAGCTGTAATTAAGCTAACGATTAAGAATTTTGTAAAAGCGGTCTTTAAAATGCACATGACGGCTACTTACATGATGTAGCTTAACAATAAAGACTCCAGGTTAACACTGCCTTAGGCAGACACAATTGTGTTAGCATACAAGCCATAACGCTAAAAGTTAACGCCACAAGTTAACCAGCGATCTTTGAAAAACACAGAAGTTGGTTTGAAAACACTTACCGCCGCCTTGACAGTGTTTTCAGAATTAACAAACGATCTTCTAGCCATCTGGATGAGACAATGTTTCGTCCACTGAAAGATAAAAGCTTATGTTTAACCAGTTTCCCAAATTGCAACTCTGTTTTTAATCCAGGTAACGTTAGTCGGCAGGCTAAGCTAGCGGTTAACATCTTTGTGTTGAATCGGGAAAACAGGTGCAATTGTCTTACAAATTTTGAATATTCAGGAATATTTTTTTATCCATATATTTCATATATATTTCGAAGATTCTTTGGGGGTTCAGGAAATACCTTCAAGTGTTCGTAAACTATCTCTTCAAACATCTTCGGCTAATTATTTTGTATGGAAACCGATGGTTAGCTATAGCTAGCTAGCTATCTCGAGTAATTTGTAGCAGGAGTCAGGGCGGAGCTGCTAATGCTAGCCTAAACTCTAATAGCTTCCAGGCTGGCCTCCACGCAATGCTAACTTTAGCAGTGAACCTTTTAACTTTTAAACTCCACAATGTAACGTAACGCTGCTCAGTTATTAACGCTAGCTAATGTCGCACCTCTTGGTCTTGGAAGTAAGCTCAATTGCTAGCTAGTAGGATGTAAGCTAGTTAGCCAAACACACTTTACTTTTGGGTAGATAAACACACAGTTTAATCAATTCATTTTTTCTAGATTAAATAATAGACACCATCTACAATCAATATACTACAGCTGTAATTAGCTGGTATGTTCTGGATGGTGGTATGGCTGCTGAGGACGTCGAGGTAAACACTTGAAAGAATGATGCTGATTAGTCTTTGGTCTCAATGTGATAAAGACAAGGTGGGAATAAAAAAAATATTCCAGATGATTGTTATTTTTATGTATTTACAGTGTCAAACTGAATGGGTGTAATATTGCACGTTTTATTTTGCGGTAGAATTCTATGGTACTGATCTTAATTGAGTCTACAATCATTGGCGTAAAAGCATGATTTTGTCTTGAGATAATATTCTTAGAAGGATAAGTAAATGTTTGGATTTGTTCAGTCAGAAGCCGTGTGTACTGATTGGTGACAGTAATAATTGGAACAGTATTCACATGTAAAAAAGTAGAGAAAAAAAGGCCACTCATAAAAAATAAAAAGTTGTTGTTTTTCTGTATACAATACCGCTACTCTACAAATGTTTGCCATGAGTTACCTGAATCTGCAAATGTTTTGGCCTTGGTATATATACATATTAATGTGTTGACACGGATGAGTCGACCATAACTTAAAACAGACTAGCCTATGGTTATGCTGGCAACATACTAGAAAAGGAAACCACACTGTAAAAATCAAGAAAAACTCCAATCATACCAGTGTGTTTTGAATCACACAAACGATATCCAGATACCTCAGATACCTCAGATTCAAATCAACAAGAACCACCTGTGCAGAGCCAGCTCAAACATTTGCACCCATAAAGCAGGTGGATATCCAATCACTAATGTAAACTGCTCTCTTTTGCATTCACACTCATACACACACACACTGAATCACTTACACTTTAGAAAATATATTCAGCATACACACTCACAAGCGCCTGTCTTGTAAATCTGCATTAGTACCACATGTCAAATGAAAATAAAAAATGTGCAAACTCTAGTCAGGAACAAAATGGCACGGCAGTAATGTAAAAATAATGCAAAAATAAAAAGAAAAAAATACATAAAATGCTATCCATGATGTGAGGAATCAATCCATGAACCAATCAAAAGAATAAAAGAACGATAGTGTGTGCCCGTCACCCATTTAAAAAACAAAAAAACACTGATATATTCTCAGTGAATGAAAATCATCTTACACTTCATTTTCAGAAAATGAAACCAGCCAAACATCACAAACTAATTCCACACCGCTGCTGTGATCGATCACAGTGACAGGACTTCAGCTGGCGTCATATCGCTCAGCTGCAGCCTCTCTGTGCAGGGCAGGCAGTGGAAAAGTCAATTAAACCTGCTATGGTATTGAAAAGCAATACCGATGTCTGTACAGATAAAATGTGCCAGCCCCTTTGAAAACAACATACTGAAAGAAAAAGGAAAAGAAGTAAAAACCTGATGGATATACAAAGGCCTATACAGTATAACCCCACCAACAATAAAGTGGTAATCTCTGTTCACATACTCTGTATTGTTTCTGAAAATATATATTGTATACTTCACCCTGCTCCCCCCCCCCCCCAACCACACCAGTATCCAGTCTAGGCAGTCAGGCTGTACAATCCCTCCATGGCATCGATGCTGTTCCCTCCCTCTGTCCCCAGTAGGTTAGGTCTTTGCCAACAGGAGCTGAACAATGGGCTTGCCGGGGATCAGTTTTCAGGGTTTTTCCTCACTTTCGTATCGTTGGCTGCTGTATTCCAGTCTCATCTTGCGCTCGACGGGCCGATTCCACAGTCTTAGCGAGTCATTGTGTACACTGATGAGCAGATCCTGGAGGTTCCCTGGTGAGAAGCCCCTGTGGCGCAGGAGGGAGGAGGGGGGGGGGGGGAGAGAATGCAGACGCCCCCTCCTCCCTCAGCACTGCTCAGACTCGATGAAGCCCTCCTTCTCATGGCCCACTGGCTCCACCTCTGCGTAGGCCGGGTGGCCCGACCCACGGCGAAACTTCATGGCTGGCCACCTGCTTGGGCGTCTCTGCAAAAGGAGAGGACGTGTGCGAGGACAGCGTTTAGGAAGAACAGTGTCACAGTGTCGTCAAGGCTGAGTTTGACCTAAGGAGAGCCGTACTGTCCAAAATCACTCCCTATGAACTATATAGTGACCTATATTTACCCCCCGCCATTTGATTTGACTGCCATTTGATTCTATTGTAAGTTCTTTATCATACTATTGCACTGTGTTGACTGTTATGCACCAATCAACAAGCCAACTTCCTTGTATGTGCAAATGTACTTTGGCTAATTTGGGTGTCTTGAGTGTGTACAATACTCCACATTTTATCGAAGCAATTTAAAGTCGTGCAACTCTAAACCTGTCAGTGATAGCTGTCCGAAATCTCAAATTTCTGCTCACTGCAGAGTCAATAATTGAGCGTCTCATTACACAGGGAGTAGTGGATGAGTGAATAAAGGAGTGATTTCAGAATTAAGCAGCGGCGCTCTGCCGAGTTGAGGTGTCACGAAATGACACGCATAGAAACACCTCAATAACATGTTTCCTCGTGTTATAAAACCTCAGGCGATAAATCTGAGATGTCTTGACACGTCTGAGATGTATTCAGAGATCAACACTGGTTTCAGTACTTTTATGAGATTCGTTGACAATAAACAAACTGTCTTTTCCTTTAAAAACATAAACTATAAAACTCAAACTTAGTATGCCTGATGTTGACTTCACTTAAGAAAGCAAACTCCACATCAGGGAGTTCCTGTGACTGATGATGACCTTGTAATACTGACAACGAGAGCGACTTTGAAACATGAGCGCCTTTGTTTTCAATAGATGCTTCTCTCCAAACTGCAGCTACTCTGTGAATTCACATTGATTTATTAGGAAGGACTGTGTGCACCAAGTTTCCTCATCCCCCTCAAAAAAATCTTAATCCTTATTTAAAAGTCAGGAGTTGAAGGATGAAAAGCACCGAGCGCTGAATGAATGTGGTTTTATTTTGTATCTTTTCTTGCTATTACACTTGAATGTCTGAAGGTTTGAGGAAAAACGTCAAAACTAAAAGCAACTAAAAGATAAATTCTGATATCTTTCTGTTTATCTAACTTTTAAGAATATGAGCTATTTTGTTTATTAAAAAAATCTCACAAGGTCCATTTACTGGCTGTGTTGGAGCTTTTTATCATATCATACACAACCTTCCTCAGCAGATGAAGTTGTCACGGAGTTGTAGATATTTATATTTTTCAGAGCACTTCAAGGACTTCTTGTACTCTTTCTGCCAAGTATGAGCTGCTAATCTCAAAAGCTCCAGAGCAGCTAGATACTAAATGGACTTTGTGGTGAGATTATGTTTTGTTTACTTCTGTTTCTGAGGTCAAGAATAAACTTTCACTCTCAATGAAGGATTTCCTTTTGGAGCGTCGCGTGAGCTGGTATCGTCTCCACTCACCTCGATGAGGAAGAGGCTGGCCGCGGAGGTCGGGTGATGGTATATGTACACGGTGACCAGCACGCCAGCGACCAAGACCAGCATCACCAGGAGGATGCCGAGGATCAGACCGGTGTGCAAGGGGTGTGCACCTGACTTCCTGTCTACAGCACTGTCTGCAGGCAGCACTGAGAAACAAAAACACAGAAACACCCTGTTACAGCCTTTAATAAAGATAGACATGTTTTTTTTTTTTTTAATTATAGTATCTAAAATGCAGAGATATTTTGGCTAAAAGCAAACACCAAAGTTACGTTTTTATCCTTTTGCTGCAGTGCCATTCTTGACCAGCAGGGGTCACTCATCATTCATCAATACCCTCTTTTGTAACATGTACTAATATGCCTTAAAATTGACATGCTTGTAGCCAAAATGTAACTAAATGTCATTACTTTGAAAAAGACAAACATTTAAAACTGATTCTACTTCAGTCATGTATGGTTGAAAAATGTTCATATGCATTTTCAGTGGATTCCACGGTGGTTTTTAGAGATTTCAGGGGACATTTTCTTCACTTTGAGATTAAATTCAAGGTACATATTTGAACAGGATCATCAGCACTCTGTTGCATGACCAGAGTTAATCCCAGACCAAGGTTAGCAGCATATGTTCCTGGTAGAAGGTGGAAACAGGCTGATAAGAGTCCAAATGTAGCCTCCAGTCGTGGCAATGAAAAACTGAAGAGGCTGCATATAGTGATCATCATTTTGTCCTCCAGCGAGCCTTGGAAGACAACACTCGGTGTGTGATGTCTTAGAAGCTAAAGTACTTTTGTCAGATTCACGTTGTAGTCGACCCAGCAGGTGTTTTTGAGAGTTCTTTTGAAGATGATGAAAACACCCTGTAACCTTTTGGACACATTTGTTCTTAATCTACGGTGGTACAATCTCCCCATCACAAAAAAAAACAAGAGCATTTTCACCTGCAATTTGTCAACTAGAAGAATGCATAGAGTAAGAATAGAAGAATAAAATACAAAGAGAAACAGTGAAGTAGTCCCAGTAGGGATCGTGGCAAGCGGGGGGGGGGGGATAATGAAGTGATTATGAAACACACAGCAAGGATGCCCTCATAGCTTATCTCACACAGATTTAAAGCAGGATCAGCCCAGATCTGTTCACACGGCTGCAGATTTCTCCTCCTATGCCCCCTTGACAACCTCTCCCCGGGCTCCTCCCTGGCTGTAATTAGCAGCCATAGCCATCGCCGAGCTTGTCAGCCAACCAGTTTCTCCCCTGGCTCCCTGCCTCATTGATTCCCAGCACACAGAATAACCGGGTGGTAATCAAACATGTCCAATGTGTGTGGGCGGCCACTGTGAATGTGCCGGTCGGTAAGTCTGTGTACAGCCGTTATGTGCACTCCTAAATTTGAAATAAAAAGGACGAAGTATGGATAATTTGGTGTGCTGAAACATCACTCGATATAGTTTCACATTAAACAAACAGAAAAAAAAAACGACAGATTACCTCTATTGTTTTTTAAATCCGTTTTCATAATGCCATTTGATGTTTTTCATGATAGTTCTTAGAATCAGTCAGTCAGCCATAATAAACGTAGCAGCTCAGGAGCCATATACTTTTCAGAGAAAAACAACTTGGCAGAGAAATTACATTCTTGTTAGTGTGCTTAATCCTAATAAACATGGTGTGAAGGAGTTTTATTTTTCTCTTGTTTACTCAGAAAGGTAGTTTTTCCTGTGTCTGTCTGCCAGAGCTACAGAGACCAAGAGCCATCTCTTGGTCAGCTGGAAGCCCAAGCAATGAGACAGGCTGTTGGTCCGGGTCGTTAGTAGGTTAGCAGGGGGCATGAGACTGAGCGAAGATGCAGACACAATGAGAAATCAACAGCCCAGCAGCTAAATAACCAGCGGGACGCTAGAGGAGACGGGTCTGCCCAGACCCCTGGAGGAGCGATGAGACAGTTCTATCAGGACTCTTCTGAACGGTGCATTTAAACCAATAAGACAGCAGGGTCTATACCGGCTCATAGTGGGCTGTTGAAAGACAGGACAGTGAAATACAATGCAGTTGTAAGTGCATTAAGAGGCTACAGTCATGCTGTAGCTGCTCTGTGAAGTTGTACTTTGGCACAATGGTGCTTTGAGCTAAATGCTAACATTCTCACCATGCTAACATGCTGATGTTTAGCAGAGACAGTGTTCACCAGTTTAATTTAGCCTGTACGCATGCTGTCATTTTCTATTTATGTAAAGTTGTAAATAGTTGAGGCTGATGGGATTGTCATTCATTTTGCAGGTATTTGATCATAAACCCCCCAACAATTAATTGAAACTTTGACCTCTTGGTGGCGCTAGATGAGAATATCATTTTGGCCGTGGCCCTCTGGGCTTTAGCAAACATAGGTGACACGAGAGGATGGAGCGAAGTCATTTAGTCAGTCTACTGTCTGCACAAAATTCTATCAGAAAAAACTAAATCCTGTCGTGTAACAAGCTGGAACCAACATCAATCAACATAGAGCCGTGCTGTCAGCATGGCTAAAAATATTGTAGTTCATAATTACGGAAATAATTGGTAATATCTATCATTGTAGCACAACGGAGTCTGGACACAGGAATTACTCGCCTTCAGCAAATTGCCCTGAATTCGTTCTCCATTAGCTTTGTCCTTATGTCTGCTAACCCGAGGACACTGACTGAACACTAATGGACAGCAGAGCTCTTAGACGCCAATCAAATACATTAGAGCTTTTGAGAAAGGACAAATGAGACCAAAAGAAACCCAGCCCAGCTGTTTCTTTTCCAGCTCTACATTAGTGGAGCACAACTGTTCTCTCGCCTGGCTTATGTTTTTTGTTTTTTTTGGGAAACTAACAATACAACAGACCCAATCCATTACAATGCTGAGGAGTGGCGGTGTTGAATAGAAACTCCGGACAAAAGGGTGATCGGCTCCTGTTGTTCCTCATCTCTACTGTAGCTTTCATGACCTCAACGTTTCCTACCACGGTTAAGGTCAGAGTACACTTTAACTGTAACTGACTGATATGACAGCTAAACAGTTAAAGACATCCTAAATCATCGAGGTCAACATGCATGAAAAGACACATTTTGAAATCACTCTGGTTAATTAAACCTGTTAAATACCCAGTAGTTATAATACATACTCAACTATCTTTCACATGGATATTAGAAATTAATGCTTTTTATGTCTTCTTCGCAACTGCTTTTCACCTTGAATAACATCATTAGCACGTATTTGGCAAAAAAAGACAAAAAAACAAGCCACGCAGAGAGATGTCATTGCAGTGCCAGGCGGAGTGATGCCGGAGTGATGAGAGACATGCGGCGTTTGTGTAATGAAAATGTGATTGAAGCCGCCGATTTCCAATTCCTCTCAGGCTGGAAACATTCGAGAGGCTATCTCTGAAAACTGACAGAGTTGGAGGACATTTCAGAGTTGGGATGTTTTGCACATATGTGGGTGTTAGTGGTGGGAGTCACCAGGAGCCCCATGATACGATATAATCATGATCCTTATGACAAGAGACGATCTTATTGAGATCTTTGCGATATGCTGATTATTGAGATATCATATACTGCGATTTATTACCTTTTTTAACAACAAATTGTCAACATCTGTTTTATGAAATAACCTTTTACTCGGTTCATCTCACTTCAGACATTTTTATTGCAGCAAAATAGGTTTCTCAGTCGAGGAGACGGACTGAAGTGGACTGAAAAAGCAAAATCAAAAGGTTTCTTGGCATCCGTGTATCGATACAATATGGCCACGCAAAATATCGTGATACTGTGCTGTACTGATTGTTTTCCCCCACTTTGTATAAGAGAAATATGGAATTCTCAAGGTGCAGCTGTCAAATTACTTGTGATGTAACGGAGTCTGTGGCCTTTGTCTTCATACTTTCCTTCCCTCCCATAATTACATGTTGTTGTTTTGTTGAATACACAAAGGGAACCAGTATGTTTGTATTTGTACAGCTATACCTTCTTTTCTACCTCCGCCTTACAGGAAAACAGCCACATCTTGAAATTGAAAATGTATCACATGGTTCTTCTGTTGCCTTTGAGACTTCATTTGAAATATATAACTCAATACAACTTCTACTTTTGGGCACAAACTCCCATACCTTCCTCTCACACCAGTCCAGACAATATAATTGATTGCTGCAACCCACAGAGGACAATTAAGCGTTATACTTGTCGGCTGCTGGATGAAGTTTATCAGCTGATTGAGCCACACGTCCTCCAAAAAGATCAAAAAGCAATCAGGGACCAATACTTCAGTGGTGAGAACAGAAACAGGAGGCAGCCAAAGAAACACACAGATAGAGACCTACCTTGGTTGTCTCTGAGGTGCAGGGCGATCTTGGTATCGTCTGTGAGGAGACAAAGAAAGACACGAGAGTCAGACACAATAATTATTTTTTCTCTTTGTAGTTTGTTTTTGAAGCTCTGATAGTATAAACAACTCCCCGAAGGCCTAAATGAGATTAAGTGGCTTTCCTTAGTGGAAATTTCAACATGAAATTTACTCCACTTAAAATCTGATTAAAAATGAATGCTTTGAAAAGAATGGTCCAGCATGCATAATTCAGCACATAAAAGCTGTCTGGGGTTATCCATACATGTGGAATATGGAAATGTAGCGTGGCCCACTTCTCCTCGAAGGGTAGCAGGCATTTACGCACGCCATAGGATTCACATTATGCTAATTCAGTGCACACACGCCACCACCACATATATTTCACTGAACGATTTAATTCAATCGGGATTTTCGATTTCAATTTTCTAAAGAACCAATGCAGCAACATTTCGGGGTCTGAAATTAATCATTAAATGAGATATGGTACCGTAAGGGAGCGCACAAAATTCGGTTCAGTTCAATCCCAGACCGGAGTGAGGGTCATGAATATGGATCGCCATCGCTGCTCGAGGGAAAGAAGCCAGAAGGGGTATAACAAAAGCTACTATATGCATGTATATTTCACACAAATATCTACATCTGTGTTCAGATTTATAACAGAGCTGGGTCTACTCTGGATGAAGAATTGTCTGTGTGAAATTGTTTTCTTCTGCCATTCAGACTCCTCATACAAATACATGTATGAGGAGTTTAACTGGATTCATTTGAAGTGAACTCTTCAGACGGTCTCTGTCACATGGAGAACGAACAGCGGCCTCCTGGCTGAAAGGTCGCTGTTTGTATTTCCTCTGAAGCTATAGCTCAATATAAAGTTTAGTTCAATGTCAATAGATTCAAAAAAAAGGAGATCTAAACTTTTCATGTCGGTGTTTCTCGCACCCAAACACACCTAAAACCACACAGACACATTTCTCTCCATGTCTCTTTTCCACCATGAGTCACCCAGCCTGCTCTCTAGTCTGACCGTTGACCCCTGCAGCTGAAGAGACGAGCGAGAGCTGAGGAAACTGATCCGCTCTACGTGTCAGAAAAGTGCGTCGGCTACACAACATACACCGCAGAGTGACCTCTTAACCTCCTGGACACACACACACACACACACGTACAGTCACACGCACGTAAACCAAACACATTTTAGTCCTCTCAACAGGCCCCGGTTTGATCTGTAGGATTAGTCTGCGTGTTTTGCCTCACAGCTGGACCGTTTTCACGTTGCATCCATCCTCATCCCAGCAGCCCATCCAGCATCCCGACTGCGATGGAGCGTCCATTTAAACTCAGCCCTCACAAGATGATTAATGTGGGTGCAGGGGAGAAAACGACTCAATTAAATGCCTTTCTGTGAGAGTGAAATAATGGGTACGCCTGGCTTGAGTGTCGAAAACCTTAAAAAAAAACTCAACAAATGAAATATACGGGGAAAAAAATAACATCAAAATGAACCACCAACATTAAATCACCACACTGAGAAATTGCAAGTTAGTTTTTAGGAACGACAACCCAAAAGCACCTTGAGTTTTCAGTTTTTAATGGAGAACTGACAAGGTCACAGCCTGCTGAGAGACCAACAGTTGGATTGTTTGCAGTGTGCCCTGAGCCAAAACACTGACTGAAATGCTCCATCTGATGAGGTCAGATAATCCTTCATTCCAACAGCTAAGTCTGGAGATATTTACTGTCAGCAAATCCGACAGGAAGACCAAAACTGAACTCATCCCACTATTGTGTGTGTAGCCAAAGCCTGATATACATCTTATTCCTGCATTGTTGTCCAGAAACTATTAAAAACACATGACTGAGCCATTTTGTTGCACTGGAGGACATTTTCCTTCATTATGATGAAGCGCTGGCACTGTAGTTTATCCCATATGCACCTTCCTGCTGTCGGAAATACTCACCAGCAGACGAAATCTGTATTAATTAAATACTACAGTGCCCAGCTGTTTTAGGAAAACTACTTTAAACTAAATTAAACTATGTACTTACAAACAGACTGTATATAAGACGTGAATGTCACCCGTTGCTTTAGCCTTCAACATCTTGGTTTTTGGCAACCAGAAGTGACACAAGAGGGTGGAGTTAAGTACAACTGAACACTGAATAAACCATTTTGAATTGACCGAAAATGTTACAATTAACTTTCATGACCTCAAAACTAAAAGGGTTTAAGTTGTAAGACAAGAACAGGGACAATTCCTAGATCGGATAACACCGTGGTAGCCACCTGTCAATCACAAGGTAGCCCTGCCCTAAAGCATACTTTGCTTTATGGTCTGTTTGACTCTAAATGGACCATAATTTACTAAATGAACATCATGCTGTATTGAAGAAGACTTGAAACTAGCAATTGAGACCATGAACTCATGTTTACAATGTTTACTGAGGTAATAAATCAAGAGAGAAGTAGTCATTTTCTCATAGACTTCTATAGGATCTAATTTATGCAACCAGATGAGTCACCCCCTGTTGGCCATTAAAAAGAATGCAAGTTCAAGGCTCATCCTCATTGGCTTCACTTTTCAGACCCAAAGATTGCCGCCTGAATACGACCTGTTTAAGAGTTATGTCTTCAGTGGAGATGAATGGGCTTGAGGGATGGGAGCCACAGACAGGACAGGGAAGTCACTTGCACATGTTTTTGCATTTCCCTGCTTCTTTTACAGCCATACTTATCTTGTAAACCGTGTCAAAGACACTTTTATCAATTTGTGATGGACAATAAAGCTTTTCCAATTATGATCCTGACTGTATGTGACAGACACACAGTTATGTCCTCACCTACTTTATAGACGGGGCTCTCATGTTCTTAAAAGGATGCAGTAAATTCATCACAAGGATACGTGTAGATGTCTGAAATGATTTGTTGCCCATCGGCTCAATGTGCTGTGAGCCCATTCGGCATCCCAGACATCGATTTAACACAACACAAGCATGAGAAAAGACACAACATACAGTCCAGTGTGTGTGTGCTTTTGGTATTGATTATCTACACAGCGTTCCATATGATGACAGTAGGCGAGTGTCTCCTACATCTGGAGCTGATTAAAATAAGTTGCTCAAAAGTCTTAAAAAGGGAAAGGAGATGAAAATCGGCACAATAAATCCGGCCAATTCATAACTCTCGCTTCTCTAGAGACAAGTGAAAAAAAGAAATGTAAGTAAACAAACTTTAAAAGACACCTTGGGAATTTTCCTATCATCAGCAGAAGAATCCGGTCTGCCCCTGTCAAAGAGGATTTGCATTAGATAACTGAGATTATGCTGCAGTATGGTTTGGGTTAGCCTCCCGCTGGGGTGCAGGGAATCATGTGCTCAATACTTTTACACTGCAATATCGAAGGAGCATGACACCCTCCAACTTCCATTGGTCAGTATGAGACGACTTATACTTATCTACTGTAAATGGCATGTTTAGGACACATTTTGACTTTTACCGTTATCTCCTTTACATAAATATCGTATGTGCACACATACAAAGCAGGCTACTTTAACCAAATTGAGGAATATCTTTTTTTGTTTCATCTGTAGGCTGTTGGCACTTTTAAGCATAAGACAGGTGTCAGCAAACAACATGCTATTTGGGGTAAATTATTTTACTATGTTTAGGATACTTGACTTCAGACTTTAAAGTACATAAAGTCTGCACTTTAAACTGCAAACAGTTTGCACTTTAAGGTATACTAATGCATATGTTTATGATACATGTTATAATACGGTATGTTCTTATTTAATATAGGTTGTTTTGTATTTAGTTTTTTCCATTTATTTTATTAAAAATGTGCTACGTTGAATGTTGTCCTGTACCGTTAGCTCACCAAGGCAAGTTCTCGTTATAATGGCAATAAAGTCAAATGCACAATGAGTAGGATTTTTCTTAAATGAAAACAATATATAAACAGATACAAAAATAATCCCTCTCCATCATCACGTATGACCCACTAGTAGTGTGTGGCGGTGTCTGTATCTGCAGAGACTCGGCCCTCTGCATGTATTTTTTCTCTTTTCTAGTCATTTTGTTGTGATCGGGATGTTTCTGGGCGTTTCTCTGCCCCTCGCTCTGCGTCTGCCTCCAACTGTCACTCGTCAGACCTCCGGGGGTCTTGCTCCCTGGCTGACACTGTAATCAGTGTCGTCTGGAGCTCTGCTAAATTCTCCCTGCCTGGAGGCACATACTTCGCCCGTTAGCTAGCTAGACTGAACTGATCACTAAACTCCTCATTCTGCCTTTACTCAACTCAACAATGCATTAGTCTGCCTCTCAGTACTTCCCACCTTTCCCATCTTGTCTGTGGCTCTCAGCCTGAAGCTCATTCCTAACTAATGAAGACGTAAATATATATATTTCCACATTCAAAGAAGGGAAAGTCAATTTTTAAAACATGGGCACTGTAGTTTTTTCATAAAATGTTATTAAAACAGCAATCAAAAGAGCATTTGTTGGGTACTATTTGCAGAGGCGGATTAATACACATTTGGTGCTCTGGTGAGTATTTGTAGCAGCAGAACAATGTGTATGGGATTGACTCAAAACAAAGTACAATGCCCATTCGTCATAATTAAAGGATATCTCACTGATATCTTTTATCTACTCACCAAACATCCTTGTTGAACCATTATCTGTAAGTACTTTTACTCTTGTGTGTATGTTTACTACATACACTGTGTTTACTTCCTATGGTCACTAATGGTTGATATTACACTGTAAATACTTTGTAAGATCAAGTCATTACCAGACTTATTTTAAAAGGCATTGCATCTCTAAAAATCAGTTTATTATACTGATCTGTAACTTCAGCCATATTCATTCCAGCCTTACAGGGGATACATGTCGAACCAAACACATATTAAATGTCTGTACGATGCATTTGTGACTTTATGGGTAATATTTGTTCAACCAAAATATAACTTAATTTATCCTCTTTAAAAAAAAAAAAAGTCAAATGTGAAATGAGACCTTGAAAGAGAGAGAGAGAACACAGGTAACAAGGACCAGCTTTCCTCAATATCTGGATCAGATCGAGCCAATTTCACTAAACTTCAAAATGATTGTAAAGTCACTTTCCACTTACTGAGAGAAAAGCCTGCACTCAATCTAATTTTCTATTAAACATTCGGCCTTCAGAAATGAAAATTGCCCTTTGCTCGCCTTTCAAACAGTGAAAGTGAACGCCTCAATTAACCTGAGAAATGATTAAGAAGAACAATAACAGGATGGAAATAGTTTTGATACTTCAAACAGATCCATCATCTGGAATGTAATAAAAGGTTTCTGAAAATAAAGATTGATGGCGAGCCAGCGGAGCGGAACAACATGATCACAGGTTCGTGTGGGTGCATCTACTTTAGACTGGTGAGATTTGTCCTAATTCAATCTGCATTGTTTAAAAGTTGGTACAAACGCAGGTGCTGCACCCTGCTCCACTGCCTGCCATATGGAATATTTGATTTTGTATAGCTTAAGTGGAGAGCTACAGTACATATTCATGCCTTCTCCCAAAGAGAAAAGTGTCTTGCTCATGTTATTAAAGAGGAAACACATCAATACCAATAAAGAGCAGCTCCAGCAAAAGCACTTCATTTAACATCTTGCCAGAGCAGAGAGAGCATCCATCACTACGTGGGTGAAAGCTCTGTGCTCCTACACAATATGCACCGTGGCCTCGTTCCAGCTCTTTCCCACTTTACCTTCGGTGGGGACGCTGGTGGGAGGGTGGGAGGTGGAGGGTGCGTCGCCGCCTGCAGTTGCCTCTTTGCTCCTGGATGTGGTTTTGGCGACAGCCGTGGTGGTGAGCGGATAGAGATGTGTGGTGTCCATGATGTCACACATCTTGTCCTTGGTCTGAAAGATAAGAAACGTTGTCAATGATGACACACACACACACACACACACACACACGTATTTCACCATTAATAAGCAAGACCATGAAATATCTAAAGTACTATCAGACAGATTCAAGTCATGTCAGATTGTTATGTTTTTAGCTTTATCACTCACCTCATCTGGGCAGCTGTTATCCACCCAGTCCTGCCGGTGGCGGTCAAAGCCACTGGAACATCTGATGGGACAGAAAACAGCCGTCAGTCAAGTCTTTAGTCAAATAAAAGCGGTTTAGTATTGCACATCCATTGAGTTGGGAGACTTTTTGTGTAGCGTATTAGTAGAGGCCTGACTTGTGGTTTCTTATACATATTAGACGCTCCCTGTCTGGTTGAAACACTCGAGTCTTGAAACTCCTCACACACAATTTATATCGCAAAGTTTTTTCTCCTGAAGTGTTTTCTTTCCTGGGGCTTTTGTGCCTCTTATTCAACAGTGGAAAGTTGAGAGGTGCCAAAAAAAACAAAGGAAGAGAGAACATCTTAAACACTAAACAGATGTTTTCACAAGATGAGTCCAAGTTTTCATGTATTGTGTATGTTTCTGTGTGGAATATGTACAGGCAGGGTGTAAAAACGAATATCCCATAGAGATAGAGCACACGTGCCATACTCTACGCAAACCATGCACACCAGAAGGGAAAACAATCTGTAACGTAGTAGCGCCAACAAAATGCCCGAAGCTTGTTTAAAAACGTTTGATTTCATCATGTCAAAGGTTTGTTTCAGCACCCAGTGTGTACCAAGGATGCAGCTGATAACTAAAAGGATGATGGGCCAGGTTAGCTGTTAGTGAGCTAATGTTAGCTATGTGTTAGTAAGTTACTGTAGTTAGCTAAAGCACTTGCAAACATAATACTGCAAAGCTTTCTGACGCATCAACGTTCTTCCATAACACCAATTGCATACTGTCAAAATGCTTTTGCATAACTTACAGACACAATGCTTGCTGCATGTAACATCAGGAGTACTGAGCGTCAGGATCCCAAAGTCTTTTCATTCTTCCTGCTGATGCCTCACTTTTGTCAGTTTTTCAGTTCGGCAGCTCATAGAAACTTTGGTTCTGGGTTCTATAGTGCATCCCAGCACACAGCAGCTTTTAGGCATTTTTATGTTGTTTGCTAGCAGAGAGAACTGATGAGGAAACACCTTCACACAATACAAATAGTTTCCTCTCCAGTTAATTGCGCTCCCTATGGATGGGTTAAAGGCTATCATGACAATTAACTGATTGTGCTGTGTCAAAATCCTGCCTTTTAAATTATTTTAATGTAATTTCACGCTTACAGTAGTCACAAACATAATTGATCATTTCATATAATAACACTTAAGGTTTTCTACTCTGAGTCAAGCTGAGAAGCAAATATCTGCCCCTCCAACTCTTTCTCTCCTCCCGATCTAGACTCAAAGAGGTAGCAGATTTATGTTTTTACAGTATGAAGACGTGGGATCTGTTAGGGGGGAGTTCAATGGGTCATGGGGCCTTGTGGTAAGGGTGCTGTTGAGCAATAACCTCAAAAGGCAGACCAGTAATCGAGGCGGCTGGCGACTAATCCTCCATGCTGTAAACGGATCAAAATTATAAACCGCCCACGGGTGAACTCGCCATCATTCTGTCTCGGCCCCCAAACTGTATCCTGTCTGAAAGGGAAAGTTAGTATGCAAAGCACTAAACCCACTCACAGTGGGTTCTGTCAAATGAACTGAAGTTGAAAAGCTTTCTGCAAATTATTTGTCACTGCAGGTGGGAGATGTACGGAAGAAACACACACAAATGAAAACAACCTTTGACCAGCTCACAATGCAGAAACACAGTGGTTTAAAGCCAGCGATGGTATTTGTACTGCGAGGACAATACGAGTCCAGTGGAGTCTTAGACATCCGCAGCAGGCTCCATTTCTCTGGTGAACATATTGTTATGCTAATGGCTTTATGTGAAGGACTTCATTTTTATCTTTCTACCTCTCTAATCATTCCACTCCTTTTATCCCCCCCCCCCAGAAAAAAATCTGCCTCATCTGTTCAATCAGGCGAGACGGATTCCTCGCTTAATCCCACACTTTTCCCCGAATGCCCCCCCACCACCAGAAGGAGGACAGGGAAGCAAAATGAGACACAACATTACCGAGCAGGTCCAACCTGTCCCTATGGGGAGCTTGTGTTTTGTTTCTTCTCAATGGCATCCATCTCAGCTAGTTGCCATCTAGCGCAGTGAGCCACGGTGCTTTTAATTAGAAATGGACTGAGGTGCTTCATTTGAATATAAATTAACTCACGAGGGAGACTATTTCTCTACAGGTTTCCAACATTCACAGCAGGATGGATAGATTGCATTCACGCTCCTTGAGATGCCGTCTCAAATTCAGTTATTCTTTGCATTTTTATGTTCTCACGTATTGTACTTTGAGTTGTAAAGATTTTTATGACATCAAACCCTGTTTTTAAGCTATTTACGGTCTGCATTCTTTCAGCCATTCAAAATCCATTCAATGTATTTACATCCTGTAATTGCCTGTTGTTTTCATTGTTAGTGGCGGAGTCCGCCATCATATGCACAGGAAAACGATGCGTACATCACATTTATATCTGTCACACTGTTCATCGCTTACTCTCCTTCAGCTGTATCGGAGCTAAATTAGTCAGGTGATGCAAACCGATCATCCTGCTTACTCAGTTGGCAAAACACAGGGTGACTTTTATTTTGAAGCAGTCACAAAACAAGACAACAATCATTTCCTGCATTTTTCATCAACTGATCATGTTTGCAAGGGAGTAATGGACAAAGAAGAAGCTGTTAGATCCAACTTCTGAGCAACATAACAAACTTGACTGTTTCCTGCTGTTGTGTAGAAAGCTACTTGTGCTGTGGGCAGCATGAAATCAGATCTCAGACCATTATTATTATTATTGCCTGACTTTTTTATTGAAACAATAGGAGTTTGTTTGGCTGCACTGTAAACCGACCCACTAAGACATATTCAAACTCAATATCTGTCTCTTTAACAGACTTTTTACAAGCTGCATTTCTGATGCTCACCAGCTGTTTTCTTTAGGTAAACAAATCCCTCCAGTTCCTCTAAACTCATGAGTGTTATGGCCCACTGTGGATCCACTGGGACATCTGCCATGCTTTATTAACCTGCTTCAGTACCGGCTGCACACATCAGCCACAACAAACTGAACTGATTTAGTTCAGGAGTTGGCACGAGAGAAGCGGTGTGCTCTCACCTACTCAGCACTTCATTGTGCGAAAAGTTCATTAGGGTTATTCTGTTAAACTACAGCGTCTTTCATTAACCCCGGAGCCAACGAGGCCGCCGCTGGGTTTAATTAGCGCGTGTTTAAAGCACGTTTGCCTTTTTCAAAGGAAGTGGCTGAAGGATACAAAGGGCAGAGGAGGCATGAACAGTCAGATATTAACATTAATATTAAAATACAGCTTAAAATGAGATCACGGCTACGGGCGTACACTTTCTCTACACAGCGATCATACATTGCTGAGGGGAAAAACATTTCTTTATGTTGATGCACTGTGAATTCATTTGTCTCTGTCAAAGGCATGAAGAATTTAAATACAGAGCGGATGGGGAAGTCAAATTCAATGTGAAATCTCAATGGACAGAGCAGAAGTGCTGCACATTTCTCCAGTCAACCACCCTACTCAGAATAAATTATGAGTCAAAAATGAAAGAGTGGCAGATTAATATTTGATGCATGAGGCATTCAAAATGCATACAAAAGAGAAGAGACGGCGGCTGCCCCGAGTCTGACTGAACAAAGCCCGACAGCAACCTCCCAAAAAACATTCAAATTATGGCTACACATTCATCAGGACAGTAAACATCTATTGGTTTCTAAGTTGAAACTTTCTTAACTCTAATATCTCTCCATAAGTTATTTCTCCTCAAACTTGTTCCATCCAACAAAAAACAAAAAAAATCTGCAGCTCACATTTCAGCTGTCAGGAAATTCTTGGGGAGGAACGCAAACACTTCTTTAGCAGCTCAAATATTTACTTTAGTTTGAAGTGCAGGGAGACAGGAAGGATGAGATAAAAACAAAAGTGGAGCAGAGGTTGACAGAACAGTTGTGAGTTGAATGAACGTTGAAATGAGCTACTGTCTCGTCTAAATGAATAGAACTACATCCCCATTCAGTGAAAAAGACTCTACTGCCATCGTTACAGAGATACTGTAGACTGCTTTCTGGAAATGAATGGTTTACAAATATTTCATCATCATGTGTACTCTAGATTGATGGTGTTTTACGTTAAAAACTGTAAGTTATTCTAATGTCAAATTGTTGATCCTGAACATTTCCGTTCCGGTGCACATCCTGATGACAGCTCGTAGGTGTGCACTCTAAGTGTGTTTTTTAAATAGTGTACGTAGAACAACATACAGTAAGCTGCTAAATAACTCACTTATTCCAGCTTGGTTCAGCTGATTTTACCAGCTTCTATATCACTGAATTATTTACTAGATCAAACTATTGCTGCAGGCCGTGCTAGCTCAGTGTTAAGTGTTTTTTTCTAAAACCTATGTATGTTTTCAGAACATCAATGTAAAAAATTAAAAAAAAGAATTGTTATTATTGTTGGTTATTGTTATTTTCCAAGTCGTATTTTTGTTACTCAGCAATACAACATTTTTCAAGAGAAACTTTGAGATCACAAGTGCTTGCGGCTGAACAGAAATGTATTTACAATTTACCAAAAGTGTGTTTAAAAATGTGGAATTTTAATATGAAAGCCTTGCGGTTTACAATTTCCAAACTACGGCACAATATCAGATTTTCACTACACGACAATTATAGCCAAAATAATGTTTCTTTTGCTTCTTTAGTTTTTGGAGAGTTTGTCAGACAACAGGTATTCTGATGTCACATTTGGAAATTGTCACAATTTTTCACTACTTTTTGACATTTCATAGACTTAATGATAAAAAAAAGGATTGGCAGGATAATGATAATACTCTTATATAACAACCCTGAGGTGAATCCTTTGAGAGTAAGCATATTTCAAAAAATCCCACCTGTTGAGCCGATGGCACCAGCTGCAGTTGAAGTTGATCTGCGAGGAGATGCAGGAGCCACAGCTCGTGAACTGGAGACAGGCTGGAGAGGAGAAAGATCGAAACAGGTTAAACAATTTACACAATCAATAGCCTAACCGACAAACAGCCAAGGAAAAGGTCTACGCGCCACATAATGATCAGGATTTCATCGAATAACACTTGTAAAGAAGCATACACTGAGTGAGCCAGAAGCTGCTACAATAACTTCTTCTTACTGGGTAGAGGCATCATTTCAACGGCCGTAGAATTGGTGATCTTCGTCTTCGTCAGCTCCACGCGGTGGTACTCGTAGATTGTCCTCCGCCTAACGTCTATATTAGGGAGAAAGAAGAGATCGAGTGAGTGCGCGAACAAACCATGAGAAATCTCTTTATCTCCCAGAGATAAAAAAAACTGGGACAAGTGGCCCCTGAAGAAAGAGGTAAGACAGTGGGAGGCAGAATCAAGTCATATGGGACGCCACCACAGCACTTTATTCCTCAACTCTCATTGTGCCCAAACGTCAGCCCACAATCTGGCAATGGACGGTAGCAATTTCCCCAGGGAGCTGATATCAATCAGACACTGTTGAAAAGGTCCCAGTCATCTGTAACAGCAAGTCATCAGCCGGGGAAAGATTGGCGCAATTGATCAGATACATCATTGACTCTCATCGCATTCCGGCCTTTATAACTCATACCGGCCAGCTTAAAATTGGCTGCTTGCTTTTGCTCGCCGTGCATCTTCCCTCCCATCAGTGGGAATGGAAAAAGAGGAGGGTGAAGGACAGCCTTTGTTACAATCAAAAAGGCTCTTATCCTGCGTAGTGTCTAAACAGATCTGATAATAACTCCTTGGTGCTGTAGTTAATCTAAACCCTAATTGGATTGTTAAAAGGACTTTCTACGCAGCCGTTCCAGGAATGAAACTGTAAATCTGTAGAATAAATCACTGAGATGCACTGCAACGAGCATCGGGGCATTACTCAAAATATGACATTTTCTATAGCAGATATATTTGCTTGACCAATGAGCTACAAAATAAAAACTCAATGCAACAGACTGTGGCTGTGTAACATACACAGCAAGCAGTGACCTGCAAGTCACATTCATGATAGAGTGCTTTTAGTAAGATGAGAAGATCGATTCCTCTTGCAGGTCTGTCCAGTAAATATGAAGCTATAGCCAGGATACGGTTAGCTTAGCATAAAACGGTAAATAAGGGGGAAACAGCTCTCTAAAGCTCCCTAATTAACTTTACATCTCGTTTCTTTAATCTAAATCAATATAGAAGTGTTGAATCTAAAAGCTGTGGTTTTACAGGATATTTTGTGTGCTGCATTTTATGCCTGACTAAACTAAGCTAACCGTCTCCTGCTACATCCTCCTCTGAATCTCAGATAATCTTCTCAATAACAAAATCAGTTTATAGCCTACAGATTTAAGGTTAGTTATTTTGCTCGGTTTAATGAACTGTTAGCTGCGCTGGCAACAGTATTGTTCTTCTCGTGTGACAGGATGTTGTTTCCCAGGATGTTGTTTAGAAGGAGGCCAGCTCCTTCTAACCTGAGAATAAGACCTCCCTTCCTTCCCCCTCCTCTCCCTGGTGCCTGACTTCCTCTCGCCTCTAGCTAAGGGATTATCAGGTGCCTAATGACACGGTGGGGGCCAGAGAGGAAGGCCTGAGGCTGCTGATGTGTGGGCAGACTGTACAAGACGGGAAAAAAAATAGTCTGCACAGTTGATATTGTCCCATTGCCACAGCTATCTCTTCTTCAGACAAGGATTACAATTGTTTTTTCTGTCTTTTGCAAGCTTTTCTGTCTAGCACCTAGTGTTTATCGTCTGAATGTGCCTGCTTTTGTGAATACTTTTCTGGGCAGACTTTACATCCTCGCTGGCCTCCGTTTGTAGGTGGAAGGAAGCCGCAAATCAGATCAATTATAGCCTGGTCCCAGCAACAACGCCTAATGAGGATTGAGCTATATAGCTTTCACTGATGCTATCAAACAAAGGGAGCAAAAGCGTGTCATCAATTACGCTCACGAGGGCCAGTTAACCCTCATTCAAATTAAAATCACGTCCAGATAAGACACACTTGCACATGTTATTACACTCTTAAGCTATAAATGTGTTTACATTCTCGCTTCATACCAGGCAGCCTCTTACTGCTCATTCATCCATATGGGAGAACTGCATGGAAATCAATACAAATGCGATGTGAAGGCATTGAGTTAGAGATCGATGGAGGAATGGTGCCTGCTCATCAGGCAGCACTCTGGCTGTTTTTGTACTGTTACACAAAATATTACGATGTGTTCAATCGACCTCTTTAACCTCATGATTAAACTCTTGCCGGGTCGATAGCCCCAACATATTGAATCACAATGTTTCCTCTTAAGCAGAGATCTGCTGTGAAAAACCTGAAAATAAAAACATGGAATGACGCATATGATTAATAGCGGCAGTCTTCCTGCTGGGTATCAAGATTATTAATCCAGATACAGGCAGGAAGATATGAGCTGGTATTGGCCTCATTTTAAGAATAACACTGTGACGGATAATAATGCATAATGTAGCATTGAACCTGGGTCTCCACATGCGCACCTGTTAATTACACACCCACAGGACACCCACAAATCTTCCCTCTCATCTCTTCCTCGGATTGCTCTGCCTGGAGGCAGTGTAAAATGTTTTATTTGAGCTTCTATTCCGGGGCAAAGCTGGGTTAAAAAAATGTCTCCCTAGCTGCTATGGTTGCCATTGTAGACACCTAGCTGAGTAGAAACACTTCTTCATGGTGCAGCCTGCAGCAGGCATGGCTCTCCTCCTTGTTTGATCTCTGGTAGGATTAAGGCTTCATTTTCTCAGGACATGGCAACTTAAAAGAAGCCATTTATTAATGGCTTGACTGTCTTGATACACAATGGAAAATATGTCAAAATAGTTCAGCTGCATCTTTTCCAAACTACAGTTCTATTGGATATGCAGAGCGCAAGAACAAAAGGTGGCTTGAGGTCACACATTAACTGTAACCATCCTACAAAGAGGGACTGAATAGCTACGGACACACGAGCTACCAGGCATCCTAAAAGTGACACGCACTATCATTTGCATCAATGTAAGGTGTAACAACCTTTGATCTAAGATGTTGCATCCTTTGCTGTCTCCACGGACTCTTTCAGCTCATGTGCCACTTCAAGCCCTTTGGACTGACAGGTGCAAGATTCAAATACTGCCCTTTTGCTTCAGACGCGGACATGAACCTGTGCACTTTGCAAGAAAACAAAGCCTTGTTTGTTTCAGCTGTCGCAGGTGTTTGGTTTTGTTTGCAGTGACTGAAGGCTAGCTTAGCAATCGACTATTCATTAAAGACCCTTGAACAGATGATGATTTCTGCACATGTTGAAGCAGTGTACACAGGGCTGTTGTAAGATGATTAAACAGTGTTTGTTTGCTCTAATATTTGTTGGGAACTTAACACTCCAGCCACCCCAGCCAACGTTACACAAGATAGCGTTACGTTTGCCAAACAAGGTTATCCAGCCATTATCTTTAACCGCTTATCACATTCAGGGTCGCGGTGGGGCTCGAGCTGACCCCAGCTGACTGTTGGCATTTGAGTTGGCAAAATGAAAGGTGGCTGGCTAAAATGACAATCTGGCTTTTGTCTATCTTTGTTTGAAACAAAGAACCCAATGTTCAAAGATATACAAAGAATTTCATTAGCGTTTATTTGCTAACATTTGATTATAAAACCTGCGAGTGACATTCGACATTTCAGCTGACGAAATGAACGACTAGAACAGCTTGAAATAAGAAGCTGCTTTCGTTGACTTCTGTGTGAAATAAACGACTCTTGGGGTTTAAACCTGCCACTATTGTCATGGTATCACAGTAACTAACAAGGGTGAGGCTTAGTCATTTGTCATTTAGCCTAGCAAGCAATGTTACAAATGTTGACACATCATTTTACTTTAAAGTAATATATGTAAATGAGGTATTGGATGTTACATCTCTCCCCAAAGATTGGGTGTATTAAAACATTGTTGTTTCTTGAGAAGTGGAATAAGGACAATGTGCATTTCAAAACAGAAGAAAAGAGTTTGACATGAGGAAGAACACTCACATTCCTCAGAGACGTCACTCAAAACACATCTGCTTCAATCTGTCTCCATTCAAGATTTCATCACTCCATAAGCAAACAGCTGCACTCACTGGTTTCATCATGCTGTGTCGGACACATCAAAGACAGCTGGGTTTATGATGTCGAGGAAGACTGCGCTAACAGGTTCAATGGTTCAATAGAAAAATCCCTCAGTGCCAACTAAGACCTCTAGAAAGAGATGTTGGGGTAAAATCCTTCAGATGAGAAAGAAAAGTCCATGTCAGAGTTTTTTTTACTCCTAAGCCAGACTTACAAGGGCAAACAACGGCCCAAAACATTTCCAGAAACGATGCCGATTAAAAATCACATACAAAAATCTAAATCAAATAAAATAACGAAAATGATGCAAAGTCCAAAACAAATGCAAGAGAAAAATATCATGTCAACGCAAGAGAAGTTCTCCAGGTCTCTAGGGGGAGCGCTATAAAAGAGCACCAGATTTATTTTGCTAGCGTTAGCGCTTTCATAATGTTGTAAAAGGCTGGAGTCGCAGCACGTTTCTCCAGATGGACATGTTGCAGGGCGTTTGCCGTTGTCGGCCACCGTAGTAATTCCTCCCCATCCAACTCAAAATAAAGATGCCAAGAGAAGGACAGAAAAAATCCCCTCATATGTATTGGGTTTAAAGTTATAAACCATTAACTTTGAAATAAATGCTTTTCAAGTTTCACAGACGCAATCAAAACAGAGTTTAAATTACTGAATAAATCATATCTGACAACTCATTATTGTGGCAGGCTTTGAGTCAGGGCCCATGGCAGAGAGAGAGAGTGAGAGAAAGAGAAAGAGAACGAGAGAAAGAGAAAGAGAGAGAGAAAAAGAGAGAAAGAGAAAGAGAAAGAGAGAAAGAGAAAGAGAAAGAGAGAGAGAGAGAGAAAGAGAAAGAGAAAGAGAGAAAGAGAAAGAGAAAGAGAGCCCGACTGTGGAAAAAACGTTTGAAGTGTCTCCCCTTTGCTAGCATTTGCTTTAGATTTAATGGGGCCTAAATTGCAGTGACTCAAAAGTGCATGGGAGAGGCAGATCTGGAGCCGTGCCTACAGCTCTGCCCACTGAGAGAGGTGGAACGATGTTGGAGAAGAGGTGGTGACAGTTGGGGCTAAAGCAAAACAGATGAGGCTGAACTCAGAGCTATGAGGCGCAGCTTTAAAAGGGTAAATAAAAAGCTAATAAAACAATCCACTCAGTCAGCTAAATGACCCTTTGCTAAGCCCCGCCCCCCTGTTGCCACGCTCGTCAAGCTTTCCATTCTGCAGGCCAATCATTTTTCATAGTTTTTGAAACAATTAGTCTTTGGCTGTGTCCGAAATCACATGAACACTACTTTTCGCGATGCATTGTGGGATACTTTGAGTCTACCATATAGGGTATAATGAATCTCACTATACATTTGGACAAAACAGCAACCTCACAATAAAGTGGACTGTAGTGAGTAATGAGTGATTTTAGACACAGTCTTTAATTTCACACACAAGTGAACAAAGGCAGCTTTTTATTTCCAGCTGTCAAGTTGTTTAATTTGTCCACTTAAATGTCAAATGTCACCTGTAGGTTTTATCATCTAATTCCAGCTAACTGTGAGCTGGTAGAAAAGCTCACTCCAGCTCACTTCATTCAAACGAGAACCCTGTAAAAGGGTCTTAAATATGCACTTGACGGCAACACACATGACATTGTGCTAAAAGACCGAGGCTAAAGCTGCATGTCCCAATTACATCCTCAGCAGTTAATGATCCACGTACAGCAAAAGACATGTACAATGTTCTTGTATTGAAGGGTAGAGCCAGTCAGCCATAAACAGTACCGCAATTATAATTTGATCCAAAATGCTTGATGCAGAAAACACATTTGGAAAAAATTACACAAATTAATTCCGATTCCGTTCTGAGAACAAGTGAGCAAATGTGAGCTAGAAAATGATTTTGCGACTCACTGGGTATCTGTTGGATCTTGTGGACCACCACAAAGGCATCAGACAGGCCCACCTTCACCGGGTGATTGACAGAGCTGATCTGTGACACCTCAATGGGGATCTGAAAGAGAAAAGGGGGGAAATCAATTACCAGAACCACGCCGATCTGTCTGGGGCAGGCTGGAAAATAGAAGCAGGCAACACCAGTCTGACAATTCAGCCAATGTATTACTATCTACCATAGGAATCTGCTGAGGCATCATTAGGTGGCAGCAATACGGAAGTAACTTGCATTCTCCATCCTCTGTTTGCAGAAGAACAAGTCTGATTGTATAGAAGTCTATGGGAAAATGACCCTACTTCTGACTTGATTTGTTACCTCAGTAAACATTGTAAACATGTGTAAACATGAGGACAAAATGCCAAACTCAAGGCTTCAAAACAGCTACTTTCACATACAGTCTATGGGCTTTATATTTATGGTCCAATCAAGTTAAATTTGGTGTGTTAATACCACACAACAAAGAAGGAAAGGAGTTAAAATAAACAAAAGTACTCAGTGTCTCGGGGATGACTTGTCAAAGGTAAATGAGATGGAGCTGAAACTCGGTACCAAACAAACCTTGTGATCATCAAGAATCTCATAAAAACTCAGATTACATGCGACGGTCAGGTTGCCCTTTTCAAATAGCAGTGTACTGAAACACCTATTAGAAAAACACCTCCAACAACACCTCTTCTAAAATAAATTACAAAAGAGGCCTTAGTCGTAAAAAAAAAGAGGCAGCCCTGCTGTTATAAACCGCTGCAATTATGATGGATCATTGCTTCGTTAATTCCATTTTACACACTTACAGCAGCCTCTGTGGGAAAATATATTTCATTACCACCTCTTTTTCTGTTGAATTAAGTTGTTTATCTCTGTGTTATGGCTCTGTTTTTTTACGTATAAATATATATATATATATATACATATACATATACCATTGGGACATCTAACATAAAAAAACCTGTAACATGATTTAAAATAATGTTGCAAGCATAATGGAATCAGCATGAGGACATTAAACGTATTATTTAGTTATGTTGGCATCACTCTTCTGTATAATGAGTGAAAACGAATGAAAGGCAAGTACCATTATCTTTATTTCTCTGTATAAACTATGATGATTTAAGAATGTAAATTGTCCATTAAAATGTCTTGCCAAACCCTGAAATATTCTAGTGTAGGTAGTGCTATTTGATTGTAATTTTGGTGTGTTTAGGTTCGGTAAATGTGTCTCGAAAGACCTGAAAAGAAAGGTCTAATGAGTATTTACTCAGATTCCTCCAGTATTATAGTAAATGTCAGGGTTTTATGCATTTTTCTGTCGACAATAAAGGTCTGAAGATCTAATAATGAATATTGTTCAAGCCTGTTTTTATAAAAGCACTCTGGATCTGGCTTTTATTATTGTACTCTCATGCAGGCTGATCATAGGTGCACAATAATAAATACTTCATCCATTCATTCAGACTGTTAGTGGTGTCAGAAAGAGACAGAGAAAGCAAATAAAGAAAGAAAGAAATACACTGCTTAAGTAGTTTAAATGAATGAGTCCTGACCTCTTTGTATGCAAACACAATCCTGCCGGTGTTGTGCAGCGTTGCCTGGAAGGTGAAGCTTCCCAGGTTGTAGTTGTCCTGCAGGTGGACATGGTCCCATTGCACCACCAGAGCAGTCCCTAAAGGAGGAACAACCACATACAGCTCATTACCAGACGCAGGACAACATAAAATCACCCAGATTTAAAGGAAAATACAGGCGTCATTGAAAGCTCCTGCCTCACGATCGTATTTCTGACGCTGACTTGTGTTTCACTCTCTTTCAAATAAATCATCTCTAGTGTCTCAGATCTAGCGTGACATGAACCGCTGCCCGGGCAAAGCCTGTGAATGAGAAGACAATCGATGTAACAATTGTGTTTGTAAAACGATATGTTTTTGAGGGATTATTTCACGGCAGAGACTTAATTTCTCCCTGTGGGTGTGAGGTGATTGACAGCCGAGTAGTGTGAGCGCTGATATGAAAACACTCCACTGGAGCAGCATGAAGCAGCTATAAAACGGAAACTTTTGAGAAAACAAAATCAAGGCGTGACGGTTACTGTGATGGATTATGTAGCAATTCTATTACATGCTGTGCGGAAGAGAATCGCAGTTTTGTAAATTACTTCTTATGGTACAGAAACATGTGTTCAAATACAGCGAGCAGCCGCAAACATCGACACCAATTTAAAGACCCACATTTCAGAAGGAGACACTTTTTGGTTTAATTTGCTCAGAATTTGAGATATCCGTCTCCGGGTTTTCTGCCACCTCATCCAAAGCAATTTTAGGGGCAGTGGGCTGTTGCACCAGGGAGCAACTTGGGGTTTATTGTCTTGCTCAAGGACACTTCGACATATGGACAAGAGGAGCTGGGGATTGAACCATCAACCATGTGATTAAAGGATGACTCGCTGTACCCCTGCAGCTCCACTTAAGTTAATTTCCTTTCACCTCCATTGTACTGGGGCAGCTAACGTTTCAGAAGCGAATACCTCAAAACATCACGTTCAGACACCACCAGGGTTTCCCATTAAACTCTGTTATTCTGTAAAATTGGTGAACTGACCATCTAAACATGGAGCCCAGACAGGAGTGCTGCACTGATCCCGGATCCATGTTTCATGTTTAGACACTGCCCGGCATCTTAAGGACCTCTCGAGGCCGACTGAACAAATGAATGAATGAATGAATAAATAAGTATGAGAGTAACTTAAAAAGCCAAACGCCAAAACTAAATCACACATGGACCACAAAGAATCCTCATTAGGTGCTGCATGATTGTGGGTAAGTACGAAATTAGCACCAGACTCACGGGACCTTCAGCTCTACCCTCCAGACATCGGGCCTCACATTACTCTCAGCACCGGTGTGATTTACTGTGGACTTTGGAGAACCTATTGATGTGAAAGCCATTCCCTTCTCCCAGCTATAGTCATTTGGCTGTGCGCCAGGGCAATAAAGGTTTGTTAACACAACTAATCAATTTTTCCGTCGCATAGCCAGAGCGCTTCTCTACAAAGTAAAGATAGCCGAGGCAGTTTGGTGAGCACAGGAAACCCCCATTATGAATGACATGTGTTGTGTACAGAGGGCCTAGACAAAGAAGGAGGTCAGACAGCTGTAGAGCTAAGGGCAGCAGGCAAATACTGACGCTCTCTGGCAATATTGTGACTGTTTGGATGAGAAATAAGTAAAACGAGAGAGCATTGAAGAGTTTCTGTGTCTAAATTGCAGCTGTGCCTTACGGCAAAGCGTGCTTACTCAGCCAGAAACAAGTTAAGCTCTAATATAAGTCGGCTTAAAATGCATTGAGTTCAGGAGGGGGGCTGCTTTTTTACATCAACCACATGTATTCTTTAGCAGATTCTACTTGACAAAAAACAACAAAACACCGTCTCTGTTTGTGTTTCCAGAACAACCAATATGTCTCTGGGGGAAAGAAGCGCTCACTCGCCCACAACACAACAGGCCGTACAGCTGTTGTGCTGTATCGGCAGGACATTGACTGATGGACAGTGTGTTGAGGAGCATGGAGAGAGATTGATCGGCTGCCAGTTTGGTTAAAGTGTGATGAGCTCCACTGCAGAAGGTCACTCCGTTGGTCAGTCGCTCTGCTGCAGAGGAAGGGATTAATGACGGACAATGACAGATAACAACCACCACAGATGGCAAAAGAACGGTGGAGAGAGTGAGGGAGTGCATCAATTCAGTTTAAAGTGAGTAAGTGGAATTTAAAGGGAGGTCATGGAGGTCAAGGAGGGTTTCATATAAATCAGTTAATGATAAAGACTTCCTGTTTTGTGAATACATGAGGATGGCTTGTACAGCTTTAGTTAGAGCTTCATTTTCAACCTTTTTGAGTGAATTTAATGCTCTATTGTGATTTAATGAATGTGAATGTGAAACCAATTGAGAAAATGTGAAAGGTTGTGTTACTTTTGTATGTTAGTCTTAGATATAATGTATTGTTTGTTTCCCAATGGGTCTAATGCTGTGTATAGCCTCTGCAGAGTTTATTGTTGGTAAAAGTGTATTTATTTATATGTTAAAGTGAGTGTTAAAGCTCCCAATTACAACAGAGCACATAGCGTTATCAGTCACTTTGCTGTCTTGATTGTTTTCATGAGTTACATAGAAATGATTGTGGATTAGTTCCAGTATTTTCTGGAGCTTGTTAACACAAAGTTGGCTGTGGGAGACTTTCATTCTGTCCTTACCAGAATAAAAGGTTGGTTGGAGCCAAAAGTATCAGTTTGTGCTTCATGCACCACACACAAGAGAGTACACAACTGTTAAAGCATTAAGGTAGAACTAAGTATGAATTAGTAAACTGCTGTTACCATTGTCAAAGTAGATGACAGTAGAGTTTCTGGAGACACTGGGGTCAAAGTTTGCCATCAGAGGAGCGATGTACTGAGTAGCTGTTAGCATCCGGTGGACCACGTCCCCTGTGTAGATAAACCCTGAGGAAGAAGCACAGGAAACATATAACTTTCAGAACTCGTCCATGTCATGTATCACTTATAGTGTTGTACTTGCTTTGATAAAGTGTTTTAAGGTGGGTTTACCCTTTAGCAACACGTTGATAGGCTGCAAATAATTAGCACTATTATTTTTTTATCAAAAACAGCAGGGAAAATCTGAGAGGCTTTAAGACGAGACACCCTGGACGAAGACATTGTTTTTCATGCACTGGTCAAGTTCTTGTATGTTCTCAGACTCCAAGCCAGAAATCTCCACTTGAGCAGCACTTAAATACACAAAATGTTCCAATTTTAGCCTTCTTTTAACGCTCCTGCTGTACTCATTTTACTCTCCTGTTGTACTCCTTTAATCCTCATGCAGGTGTGTTTTTTACTCTACATCATCAGTCACGGACACTAACGAAGAGACAACATAAAAGGAATATGTAAACTTTCCCAATTTACGCGTCCCTTCAGCGAGACACAAATAGATCTCTCCACAGAGGGGGGACTTGCTCAGTCAACATCAACTACAGCTGCATCATTTAGCAGTCTGTACACATGGTTATTAATGGAGTGTGGAAACGGAGAAAACGCCCACTATTCATCACCAGGGAACTGTCTTTGCACTCATAACAACAGAATCAAACGGCGTCTTAATTTCCCTTCTGACAAAGAAAGTTTAGCAAAGTCAGCTGCTATTTAAGGATGTATTTATTCTTAGTTTCTCACCCTGACTCTGCCTGAATGGCAAAAACAAACCTTAACATGTACTCATTAAATCATGTTTGACGCAGAACAAAGGGAAAACATGGCATTTGGGTGAGACAATTACATGCATCCAATATAATTTACCTTTGACGAAGAGTTTGAAGAATTAATAAGACACTTACAGTATATCTTAAAAAGGGAAATACAAAAAGACATGTCTCATAAATTACTTATTTGAAAATTAGTCTTACAACAGGATTTTTTATGATGACAGACGAGGTTGTTTAAGCCTATAAGACTGGTTGTAATCGTCTAGTGTACCTGCAGATACAGGATTCGGCAAATCACTAAAATCATGGTCTTTTCTGGACAGCAAAATAATTATTAATATATATATATATTAAAATGTGTGATTAGGATGTTTTGGGAATCTTTTACTTCAACAGCCAGCTGTATCTGCCCCATTTCCTTTCTTTGTGCTAAGCTAACTGGCTGCTGGCTGTAGAGAGGGTCATTGTGTTTTTTCCTAAAATATCAAAGTATTCCTTTTATATCAGTGTTGAATATGGGAAACTATCTATGAAAAGGTCCTTCAAAAATGTACTGAATACCATAATAAATCATCAAACAACCCAGAGTAAGAAATCATTGTCTCTCTGGTGATGAAGTTCAACAGAAATACAGTAAGTAGCTGCCGGAGGCTTTTAAGGGAGGAAAAACCCTGCTCAGAAAGAAAAGAGGATTTTTTGGGAAAAGTCTCATTGAGGCCCATGAACCCCCATTTCATCTCACCATATGTCTTCTCATAGATGTGGTTTTATAGCCAGACTATCACTTTGGAAAGCAGCAGCAGAGCATATCATAAGGGGAATCTATCTTTTCATAAAGACCTCCCGGCTCAGAATTACCTCTATAGAGCAGTGTCAGTATACACTCAGTGAGGAGAGGAGCAGGCGAAGATGTCACTTTAGAGAACTCCACCTGGAGAGAATGAGGTTAAAGCTGCACGGCTCAATAAGAGGAGTTCCCATGGTTAGTTTATTCCTGTCAAAAATGTACAAGATTTGACGAAATACTCTTACAAAGTTTTGTGAAACACTGTTTTAAAGCAGCTGCTTTTATAGTCTTTTAGAAACATAAAGTATTTAAAAGCTTGGGAAGGGAATATGGACGCATTTGGTGTTTGCAGGACATGAACTCAGCCCAGCGGATAAAAGCACATTATGTCAAGGACAATGAGTGTAAAGAGGACAGAAAATAAAGAGGCAGGGTTGTTTAGTCTAGCTGCCTAGGTAAAGGTAAACACATTGCCATGGTGGGACCGGCTCCATGTTGCCGCGTCTGCACTTTCCTTTATCTGATTGTGCAGCGACACAAATCAGCCACCTCGTCTCATACTTACCCAACGTTCAACTCGAGCACGTTTTTTTTTTTTCATCTCATCCACTCTTTCTTTGGCTTTGCTTTGTACTATTTCTCCTTTCACTTTCAACCTTTAGAAAGCTTAGAAATCCCCCCGACCAAACACACACACACACACACACACACACACACACACACACACACACTATTTCTGCTCCGTACCAGCAATCTCCTAAAAACACAATACGGTTTACTTGACAGTCTAAAGAAAATCAGACAGCCTCTCAATACGCTAAAGAGGTGAGAGCCGCGGGGCGCTCAATAGAGAGGCAATTCATCCATTATGGCCGTCACTTACAGCAGAGGGAGACTGGACTGAGTAGGAGGGGACCTTAGGGAGCAGCTCATATACAAGAAGAGAGGAGGAATAATGAAGAGGAGTTTGAGGTAGAGAAAGAGGTTTTAGGAAGGTGGGATGGAGCAGGATAATTCTTTCCAACTCTTTCTGTTTATATGCGCTGCTATCCAAAAGTGGCGGGCTGTGTGTGTCCAAGAAAAACAAGAGCAGGAATTAGCAGGCCCACCAGACTAAAGCTTCACTTTATTGGACATCGTGTTTAGACAAGGACTTTGTTCCTTCGTACTCAGCTGTGTATAATTTACCGGATATTTTCTGTTTATCGCAGATGTTCTGAGCCGGGAAAGTCCCGCACCGGATCTCTCTCACACACACACACACACACACACACACATTTTATTTAGTCTTTTGTATTGTGAAACTGCTGTTCTTTTTTTTTTTAATCTAATTGAGATGTCTGTTATTTTGTTTTTTTATTGCTAAGTGAAGCAAACAATACGATGTCAGGCCATAACCGATCCATTATGGCTTCTGAGGAAAAACATCTGTAATGTGTTTTATGTTTCTTTGGAATACAAATTGGCAGTGATCGTCTGCATGACTTGGCATACATAAGAGTCAAACGTCATCAGCCCAAGATAAACTAAAAAATTATTATCCTTGTCACAACCCTGTCTACTAGAAATTGTGTTTGTGAAGGGAAACATGGATTACATGGACACACTTTGATTATAGTCGGCAGCAATGTTTTTTCAAGGAAATACTTCATTTCTAAGAGACGGTGTTGCTTGCCATTGGCAGTGGTGGAAGAAGATATTTCACTTCAGTAAAAGTAGTAATACTACATAGTAAAAATACTTAAGAAGTAAAAGTTCTGCATTCAAATTCTTACTTAAGTAAAAGTAGCATCAAAATAACTAAAGTACTAATTATGCAGAATGGCCCATTTCACAATAATAACCAAAGAGTGATGTCTTTGTTCGTTTAATCTTAATAATCTTATACTATCCAATATGTCACAATAAAAACCTAAAATAATAAACATGATTTGTACGGCAGAGATATTTCTTGTCTTAATCATCTTCTGATCCTTCAGATTTATCTTGCAGCCCTTTAAGGTTTTTTTTCGCCCGAGGCTGTGAACCACTGACACATCTGGGTCGCAGAGTGCGGGCGACATTACACTCATGTTTCCTCTCATGTGCTCCTATACTTGCCTTACACGTTATGCACTGTATTTGGTGCCTTACATATAAAAGCTTGTGATCACCAATTAGCTGGATAACAATATATAATACCAAATCGTGTGTTTTCTGAATCTTTGTTTGTATTCTGGTTGTAAAGTGTGACAGCTGGCCGCCCAGTACACAGCATGGGAAAGCATGGCACAGCTGGATATCTGTCGACACAGCTGGCAGTGGTCAGATCATATATCATCATGGTATTCAGTCTACACATGTCGAGCCGTACACACACACACACGCACATACACACACACATACACACACACACACAATTCAACAATAACCTGTCAGTTCATTACAACACCTGCAGAATGCTGACAGTCCCTGTAATTGTCCTGACTGTACGAATATTTCTCCTCTTTGTTGGCATAATCCATTCATTTTCAAGACATTTCTAGTTATATTTAATGTGTTCAAGCATCTAAGGTGCTGCAGCCTATTGAAGTGACAATGTGTGTATGTGATGTTTGAGAATATAAGTATAGTGTTAAAGTAGCAGTGCGCATTGATTGTCATTTTTCACACTAGCACTGGAGTAGAGGCTAAGTGCCACCTGCCTATCAGACTAACGGTCAAACACCGTAGGCACAGCTACGGGAGCAATTTTGGGGTTAAGTGTCTTGCTCAAGGACACATCGACATGCGACCAGCAGAGCCGGGAATCGAACCGCCGACCCTCTGATTGAAGGACGACCCCTGCTCTCCACAGTCGCCATAATGTGTAATAAAAGTCGCAATAATGTGTCTTATTTTATCTTGTTTTGAGGTATTTACACTTATTGTGGGAAAGTGTTAACATTTGCAAGTTCAATTGTCTTTTAAACACATTAAAATAATCTCATCACACTATTTCTTTCTCCTAATTTAAACAAGTAAAACGTTTAGAACTCAAAATGACTTCTTGCGGTGGAGAGTTTTGAAAGTGAAACGCTCGATTGACTGCATGCAAAACCCATAAAAGTGGACGTAGACGTCACATGTTTGACAAGGCTGCATGCCAGCTTCATCGAGTTGCTTCATCGTTAATGTGTTTGAGAACTGGCTGCTGCAGTGTTCAGAAAGTAACCGTAACTCTTTGAATACAAAAACTAATACAAATGATCTTTTCCTGCAGAGGTTCAGCACACTTAAGGTAGCAAAGAGAAATATTGGCTCAAGTTATAAACAGTGACTCTTGCTGACGGCAATGAAAGAAGAGAGAAAAGATGGTCCAGTGGGCAGAGAAGGACGAGCTGATTGATAGGCCCTGAAGTGGAGGGATGTGAGGACGGCGTGTTGGAGACAAAGCCCCGGAGGCCTGCGAGAGGCAGATAGCTGCCTCCTCCTCCTCGGTCTCATCCCTTCCTCTCTGTCTGGAGGAATGCAAATTCTTGTTATCACGCCTCCACACCATCATCCTGCCTCGCAACCCAACTCAACTTTGCCTCTGATGGAGGATCAAGTGGGGGCAAAAAAAACCGAGACGGCGATGATAATGACGATCACGGCGGATTATGTCTTTTATTATTCCAGCGGCAGTTAAACGCAGCACAACATCTCTGAAATAGTTAAGAGCAGGGCTTTGGTCTTTCATGTGATAATAGCTGGTTGTGGAGTGTTGTGGTTTCGCCGTCAAGACTCAAGTGGAAAATTGCTTTGCACACTCTGGCAAACACGTCTGCCGTGTCACGTGTCTAACATACACACACACACACACACACACACACACACACACACCTCTTGATACCCCTAGCTCCTTATACATGTCTATCAGAGTGTGCAAGGCCACTTGGCACAGGGACTCCTGTTTCCAGTCCAAACCCATCGGTCTGGTTTCTCTCCTGTCTGGTGTGGAGCTGGTGGTGCCGAGTGTTGGGAATGGTTTGTTGTTTCACCCCCCCCCCCCCGAGTATCCCGCGGAGGTGAGCGCTGCAAATGGTCTCGTATCAGGCCGTCTGCTTGGCTGGGCAGAGTGTCGGGGGTGGTTTTGTACTGTGGTTTGTGCCAGATGAGCCTTTTCAACTTCCCAGAGACAACATCCAAAGAAATGACTCATTGTTTGGTTATTTTCTGTCTTCAGGGGCGAGATCTCTTTGAACAGTAGCCACGCCACACTCACTCAGGTACACCGAGTACCAGAAACATTCCCTCCTAAACCCTGCAGCAATCAAAAGTGTCTGTGTACAGTCTAATATGCCAAGCACATACAGTATATCCAATAACAACATTAATAACTACTGTTGAGAGAAGAGAGTCCAAGAACAGTGCTCACTTACCACCAGTCGCCACGGTGATTTCACGCAGGAAATGTCCATAAAAAGGGAAATCGAAGGACAGATTAACTCTCTGCGAGGGGAAAAACAGACAGATGAGCCCGGTCAGAAGGAAAGAGGCAAGAGGCGGATCAGAGGAGAGACACTGTCTTCATCTTAAAAACAACAAGAGGATTTAGATCAGAAGAAAGGAAATACAGAGGTCTCTACTTCATAGGGCAAAAATATAAAATAAAGATTTAAAGATTAATGTAAATGTGGTAAAACATAAATATATGACCTTTATCACATATTAGTACGAGAAGAAAGAAAACCGTCTTCCTGACAATGCTAAGTTATGAGGAGTCAAGATATAGCAGCATTTCTAATTCATGGCATTTATGGGTGAATTTGCATATAACGTATCGATAAATCTCTATTATATGGAAGCCCATTTTGTCCAGGGGAAAAATTACAAATGACAAAAATGAGGAATAGGTGGTTTGAAAAAACTATGAACACATTGGATTTCCAACTTTCGGACTATTACCTGTGGACGTCATGTGAATTAGATATTATACCTCGTGTGTGTTTCATTTGAGTCTGTATTTTACTCAGGTTTACGGACATTACCATCCAGATATGTCAAGTCTCTGCGTTTGACATCCACATATATTACATTTTATACTTTATAATATTTAGATTCAATATCAATTACGACCGGGAAAGAGGCAGAAAGAAAATATGATTGAGATCATAGTTGATCGCCGCAATTATTACAATTTATTTGAGATCCTCAGCTAATACCAGTTCATTGCAAATCATTTTAATTTACCATTAGTATCACTTTTCATCTGTTCGTTTTTCTTTTCCTGACAGAAATGGGCTTCCATATTGTTTGGAAATCTATTGATGGGTATTAACACATAATAAAAAGGGCTTCAAGAAACTATAATACCACAGATGATGGTTTATACATTCATTATTTACTCCCCTGATGTGAATATGCTAGACAGTGACACTGCCAGAAAATGTTATGGAGAAAGACAGTCCACAGTAAACATGCAGCTATTAAACATGATCCTAGATTATGCTGGAGGGAGTAATCCTGCGGCAAACCACACTGGATCTCACAGACTATACAGCCAATCCAGAGTTTAACTTTCCTACGATCCTGTGATGAAGTGGACCTCTGCGGCTGTGTTTTTCTTTTATGACCTTATTGGTCAATTCCTTTTTCAGTGTCGGCGGCCAAAAGCGCTGGCCGGGCAGCAGAGCCAGAAGGGAATATAGAAGCTCTCGGAGTTTTATGCAGTTTGTCAGGATTTTAACTACCATCAACATAAACTCTTATTTGTTTAAAATGTTAAGTCTGCTGACACGGTGGCTGCATTTCAGCACAGATGTTTTGGGCTGCAATCACACAGTGAAACCATGCAGGCAAGATCTCATGTTTTGACTCTGCATTGCTTGGCTGGCCATTGAATTGGTACATTTTTTTTATTTTTTTTTATTCATTTTTTTAAGCAAAAGTCAGAGAAGCCTCCCACATCCCTCCTATACTGTCTGGGAAGAAAGGCCTCGCCTCTTAGCCGGGTCGCTCAGTGGCTACAAAGAATAGCTTGCATCAGATTGTTTGGTTCAATCCATCATTACATGACTGAAGGTGCAGGACCAGAATACACAATGTGGGGCTCTATTCTATCTCCTCGCCAGCTATTGTTCACCCTGGGTGCTCTCTCTCTCTCTCTCTCTCTCTCTCTCTCTCTCTCTCTC